GGAGCGCAGCTGATCATCATCAGACTGATCAGCGGGGCGGCTTTAAAAGGAGGACGGTTATCCACATTCGATGCCGGATGATTAACTACTGCCTGACTCACCTCATCGTTGGATCACTTCCGTCTTCAAGTCAGAGGATTATTTCACCGGTTCGTTGCCTGGATACCTTCTCCACCCAGCTGCCCCGCTCTCCACCGATCACGCTCTCTCTCCGCTGCCTCATCCTCATCCGCCTCGTCCATTCCACTCATCCGCTCCGACTATCACAAGTCCCTTCTGGAAATCACCCCGGCTCACCTCCCCTCCACATTCATCCCGAACTTCCTCACCGTAAGTTCTGCCTACAAACATTCTCTCTGAACTACAACTCCCATCACTCACCTCTGGTCTCCCTCTCAATTACCGCTTCCGGATTCGTCCTCCCGCTGGATCTCCAGTACGCCTTCAGTTCACCTCCACATTAAAATAAAATTATTATTTTTCCTTTACCTCGTCCCCGTGCATGATTCTGTATGTCTTGGGTTAGACACCTGCCTCAAAACATGACAAGTACTGCCAGTTTTCCCCCGTGTGCAAAAGAGCCAAACGTGCATCGCCCACAGTGCGCAGGGCACCGAGTGGCCAGAGGGGCCCCAAGCAGTCAGGTTTATGAAAAGAATAACAGATTACATTAATTTATTACTGGACAACATGCACACACACAACACTGAGGTAATCATTTAACTGGCGTTATTTCACACACAATCCCGTCTGTATGACCCAAGCCGATGTGCTTCTCACCGCTCTGGCTTTCAACCCAACTGATTTTAATTAGTAGATAATAAACAGGCTCCTGTAGAACCTGAGAATCTGCTGAACAGGTTATTCAACCACTGTATCGGATGTGTTGGGGCAGGGAAACAACTAACACTATGTGGACACTAAGCTGGGTATTCCACAAAACAAAGATCTTTTTCCACGGCTTGGTCTGTCATCCACACAAAAGGCACCAAAAATTATTCTTTCAAAAACTCTGACTAAAGTGGAGATTTGCACACGGTCTGTTGTCAGCATTTGCTGCTGCGGCCCCCAGACTCTAAAATTCTCTCCCCTAAGCCTGAGATCAGTGGACTCAGGGGTCTCCTTTAAAAGGCAGCTGTAATATTCACCTGTTCAGGCTGGCTTTGGTGTGACCTTAGTTGATTCTCCATCACTACCCAGCCAGCACACATAGGTGGGCCCCATAGATTTGATCAGGGCCAATGGGTTTTTAGAAGGTTTGACTCAAACACCAGCCCATTAAAATCTTTGCGGGCAAACCCCTGTGGGGCCACCATGGAACCCATGGACTAACCTTGTTGGCACCTGTACAGTTTGTCCATATATATTCCGTATTGGGCCCACCTATGTGAGCTTGCTGCGTACCTTCTCCTCGTTCCGCTCTTTCTACCAATTCTGCCTTTCCACTGATGCCTCTCTCTTTTCACTTTCTCTTTCCTGTTCCTCACATTTTTAATCACAACTTTTTACTTCTCCCAAATGAAAATTTTTAAATCTTTTTTAAATTTATTTATGTTCTTGTGAAGTGCCTCATGATGTTTGTCTTTGAGAGGTGCTATTTAAACAATGTTGTACGTAAATAACCATTTTAGTGTTTTAGGTTTCATAATGTCACTCTGGATATACACTGAGGTAAGGCCGGGGATCAATCTGAAGGCCAGAACATCCAAATTTACTAAAGTGCTCTGACGTCACGTATGAAAACGAGGTGGTGTAGACCACATGGTGGGCAGAGGAGGATGTTCAGTTTGATAAAAACCTGGCTATTGTGTTCGTGGCCTAAAACATGCTGAATAGGTGGATCTCGAGGATCAGGGTTGTAGAGCCCTGCTTTAGGCTCTACAGCATGACCAAAAGCTCGGTCAGTTTCCAGTCATAACTGTGTGGCAGGAGAGCACCTGTCAGTATCTTGAACTATGAACAGGAGTGAAAACCAGCAGGAGGACAATGGAGACTTTACACACTTTTGAGGTTCTACAATAAACTGTTTTTCATTCCTCACATGTATGATCCTAACAAGATAAGCCTCTTTGTGAAGGTTTTCAAATCATACAAGACTTATTGCAGCATCAATACAACATAACAATGAATCAGTTATACATTTTGTTTGTGCTATTTCACTGAGCAGAGGCCATTCAGGAAGCTAATCCACAATGGGTGGTAGCTTTACAAGACAAAATATCTGATTAGGCGAGATGCAGTTTTCTGATGAGACCCAACTTACACCGATTAGAACTGAAACATCAGTTTTAATACCAGACGATCCCTGAATATAAACAAAATGATGCCGATCGGCTGAGAAACCAACAATCCTGCCTGTAAGCTAGAACAGCGTTGAGGTCGCTGGTTCAACACCCATGGGAACTGAACGCTCCTCCTCGTGCATACATAGGTTCTCTCTCTCAGACCAGAAAGCTGAGTTTTTCTATCTGTACATAACAGCAGGCTGTCACGTTGAGGAGATGTTTAGGACCCAAAATGCAGATTACCCAGACGACAAGAGGCAGAAGTTGATTCAAAGTAAAAATCCTTTTATTTACAGGATGAAAGAACAACAATTAATCCAAGGCAGCAAGCCAAAAGTCCAAAAGTCCTGGAGCAAAGGACACCCAAAGCTCTCTTAGAGCACCAAAAACCTAGAGGCAAGAAACTCACTAAGAGCACCAAAAAACCTAGAGACAAAAGCTCAGACAGCGCACGAACAAACGCTGACAGAAAATACAATGGACGGACAACCACACAGAGACAACACAGGGCTTATATAGACTGGGAAGCTGAGAGGGAGATGAATTGCAGGTGTGTGGGGAGAGGGACCAGGTGAACACAATTACTAACTCAGGGAGGAGGAAGAAAACACTGGTGGAAAAAAAAACACACTAAATAATGAAAGGCTGTAACAAAGGAAAATGACCCAAGAGAAAAACAAAAGACCAGAAGGCATGAACCATAACTAATATTCTAAGGGGAAGCTGACACTAAAGGAAAACACTACAGAACGAAACTACAGGGGCGTGGCTAAGAGGGGGCCAAGAGAGCACAGGACCTGGGAGAGGGAAGTCTGAGGAGGGAAACCTAGAGGGCAAATGGGGAACAGCAGGAGACACATGAGGAAGATGCAGACACAGATCATGACACAGGCAGGGGTCTTTATAGATTACAATGAAGTTTCCAGAAAGCTCTTGGTTTAAAACAAACATATCACACATTCTTTTAGGAGAAATCTCAGGATTATTTAAAAATCTTTTGTTATGGAACAACATAATAATACAACATCTTTTTGCATTTTCTGCCCAAAGAATTTAGAGAGAAATAAACATCTGTGCCGTATTTTCTGAAGCATGTGTGCCATTTTTTAAGACCTTCTCCTCTTGAGGCTCTGTGGGGATGTGTGAAAAGCTAATTGCTGCTGACTTTATTCTAATGATATTCATGCCACAGGAGCTGCCGCGACCCAAACACCTTTACGCTGTGATCAGAAGTTCAGAGGTGCTACAAACCTCATCAGCTGTTCGCTGCACATGGCGTCTGATCTCACACGTGGTGTGAAAACCTAGAATTAACAGGCTACGTTTTCTTCACTGAAAACAGCAAACACAAAAAAATTCAATAGGATTTTAAAATGTATACTAGAGCTCATTTAATTTTGGTTTTCTGACAAGAAGTTTTGTAAATATTTTAACTCTATTTGCAGATTCTGCTTTGAAAAATCTGTCAATAAAATGTGAAAATTATTATTTCTAAGAGAACAAGAAAAAACATTGTTTTATTCACAGCTCATAAAGTTCAGCATGCAACATTTACACAATTACAGCTGTGGAAAAGTGTTTTCCCACCTACACATTCATTCTGATGCTTCAGATCAGCATAAGACAACCTGAGTAAACACATTTAATTCATCCAACCTGGCCTTGTGTGAAAAAGTAAAATGTTGTTAAATCATGAATTAACTGATTCATCAGATTCGTTATGGAGCTGGGAGTTCCTCCAGCTGCACGCCCAGCCTAATGTGAGAAAATCTGAAAGAAATAAATAACTTAAAACAAAAGTATGTTTAAAATAATGCTGAAAAGAAAAAATATTGATATAATCACATGGTTTTTAGTAGAAATACACACTCACAGGTGTTTGTGTATCGGCACTTCATGAAGTCTCTTATCAATCAAAGACGTCTCAAGGAAAATGTTGCATTATTAATTTCTCAAGCACATTTAAAAACAGCATGTGAGCTGACCAAAGCACCCCTTATTCTAGGCCAACAAGCCATTACAACAAAGAATAAAACAATAAATAAAACAAAGAACATCCAATCATCTGATTGAAAAAGTCGGTGAAACCAGATAAAACACTAATAAAACAATAATAGTGGAGATATCAATAAAACAGATTGAAACCCTGAAAGTTAAATTGTAAAAAATAACCCAGTTCATGATTTAAAGGTGAGATGATAAAAGGGGGTTTAAAGCCTGGATTTTAAAACCAACCGTAGGTGATTGGCGGATTGTGATGGGCACAAAGGCCAGTCCTCCCCCTCGTTTTGTAGTTATTATGATGTAGAAGCATTTTAGTTCACCATTATAGCCATTTTGGACTCATTTGGACCCGCACATCAGATGGCTGTGGATGAATGTTGTGTTGTCCCACTCCTTTTTAGAGAATTATTTAAATTTGGCCACATTGGAGGGTTTTCTAGGATAGGTCAAGGTCAGATGTTCTCCTTAAGAATGTTTTTCTATAGAGCATCAGTTACAGGAAGTGGTCCTGAAGCAACAGAGCTGGCCCATTCCATCACTCTACCACCACATCTCCATATCTGCATGTGTCTCTTTCCCTAATAATATCAACCTCAATAATAATAATAATAACAACCTCAATAATAATAATAATAATAATAATAATAATAATAATAATAATAATTTAGGCTCCAGGAGTTCATACATGCTGAATATATTGGGACTGAGCACAGGCTGTGGTGAACCTGCACATCCTGGTCACTCAGCCAGCAGAGCTAAGATTTGTGCGGACGGATTTGCTCCTTCTGGTTCTGCTCGAACTTATTCCTGCAGGTTGGAGGACAGCTCTATGGGTTCGGCTGTGAGACCAGTGGACTAGACTCGGAGGAGTGGAGCTGGATCGGGTCTGATGTTTACAGGCAGCACTTTGCGCATGGAGAGCGGAGCGCACCGGGTTCGTCTCGCACCGACTCCACCTGTAAACCTGACCCTCTCAGGGCTGCTGGGTCTGGGGTTCATAGATGAGACCTTCTCCGAGGTGAGTCGCTCTCCACCGGACAAGCAGCTCATCAGCGCGCGGGTCACGGTGCACCACCGAGGACCATGACGGACAACTTCACCGAGTCTAACGACACGCTCCCGGTGGCTGAGGTCGCGCACTATAATTTCCCTGCGCTCATATTCGGGGTTTTGCTGATCGTGACCGTGGCTAGTGGAAACGTTCTGGTGTGTCTCAGCGTCTACTTGGAGAAAGCCTTAAAAACCACAACCAACTACTTCATAGTCAGCCTGGCGTTCGCGGACCTGCTGCTGGCGGTTTTGGTCCTGCCGCTCTTCGTTTTCGCAGAGGTAAGGGTCGGACCTGGAGGACCCGGGTGGGTCTGTATGAGGCGTCGGTGTTAGAAATATTACCGTTTAATAACACCAGAATACTGGTTAGATGAAGGTTTTCGGTCATAAATAGTAAACCAAACTGAACAAGAATGTTTTTATAGAGACAACATGAAAATAATAATCAGAACATCAAACGTAACCCTAAACACGAGCTGCATAATTATCACAATTAGGAACTAATATTCAAAAGTTTACAGAGTATTGCCCAAAGACAAAAATAAATACAAGATTACTTTAAAGATGGGCTAAATAAATGCAAAACACCCAAAAGATGCAAATGGATGGAAACAAGATTGGCTGCCACATGAAGACTTACTTCCATCTTCAGACACAAAACAACTATGGATGCAAGATGACCTTAGAGAGAAATGTCACTGCACTGTAAATATTTAGACAAACTGCTCCAGAAATCAAAGAGGTGCACATAAAACCATGAAGGTCTCAGTCAACGCAGATTGGCTGAAATGATAAGACAGGGTTTGTTTGGTAAGAAACTGCATCTGAAGCAGTTTAGGGTGACATAAACCTCCTCACTCTGGACTAATTACCAGCTGAGGGACATTGCGAAGCTTGTTATGAAGACATTATGATCTATAATTTACAGTTTATCCAGCCTCTAAAAGGTTTAAAGTGTGTAATTAACTCTCATTTAGATACTAAAAGCCACCTGCCTGCCGTCTGTCTGGAGATCCCAGAGATGTCCTGCTGAGGCTTCCCCATAAGTCCCCCTTAATTAGGCCTATTTGTGATCTTGTTACCTCTCAGCAAGGTAATCTACCACGTGTCACATCAGTGGTTTGTCCTGATGCCGTCACCGGATTAGAGAAGTCAGTCTGAAAGTTAAAGCCTGCTATGTTGACCTAGAGAAGGAAAAGGAAGTGGGCAGTGTTACGGGGGGAATGTTTGTGAGCAGCACGAGTTCAAGAGGATTACACATAAACATGGAGATTTAGGGCAGCTAACGAGTTGGTGTTTGTGTGCTTCTTTCTTCAGTTTCAGGGAGGGGTTTGGACCCTGAACATGCCGATGTGTGACGGTCTCATGACCATGGATGTGATGCTGTGCACCGCATCTATATTCAACCTCTGTGCCATCAGCGTGGACAGGTGGGTTGAAGAAAATCAGCCATGTTTATGCATCAATGTCCAATCATCCAGGTGTTATTTTTCCCATACACGGCCTCGACGGACACTCACTTTCTTGTAATCTCTAGACTTACTGGAGAACTTCTGAAATATAAATGCTTAGCATTCCTAGATTTGCATATCCTCATCTACACTTGCAAATCTAAAACAAGCTAGCTTAAAACATTTTTAATGCCTCCAAACAACAAGGAGAAACCACTTCAACCATAGGACAAATTACCAGAGTCCCAAAAAGAAAACATTTGAAGTCACGGACAACAACAAAAAATTGGTGTTTAGCTCTGTCTCTTTTACTGATGCAATGCATGTTCCCATGTCAGCGGGACAAAGCCTAGGGACGATAGCCATCCAACCACTTTAAGCTGTTAATGTCATGTTATTAGGGAGTTTCTGTACCCAAGACATGCAGAATCATTTACTGGAGACAGAGAAAGGTACGAGTATTTATTATCAAAGGGAGAAACTGATGGTGTGCCGCCAAAAGTGACGGCGAGAACAGAATTGGCTCCGAGACAGGATCTGCTGAGACAACGAGCGGTTATTCCAGGCAAGGTGATGAATAGATTGGTTGCTGTGCTTAACAGGCTCACTGTGAGAGAAGGAGGTCCAGAGCTTGAGAGAGGTGAGAATCTCAGGTCTGGGGAGAGCAACAAGTGACAAGGTTCAAAACTTTCCAGGTTAGGTGAGCGGCGGGAGAGTGGCACGGTCAAGATGAGAGTGAGATCAGGCTTGATGAGGGATCCAGATAACAGCAAAGTTGATCGGTGGAGAGTTGTTCCTGGAGTGAACAAGACAGGGTTAATAGAATATAAACACACTGAGATCTAAATAAACACGTTTAGTCTATGGCTGTGATTCTCTAGCTTGGCAAGAGGTACCCAAGGTGAGTAATCATCCAGTGAGGTGTAGAGATCTCCCAGATCCTTTATCCAGGACCGGCTAATCAGAAAATCAGCTGCAGCTGAACGCTCTCTCTGGAACCGCCCATCTGCAAAGACTCAGACCAAGTGAACACAGCATCTGGTGCAGCACTCAACCCAGATCCTGACAGTTAATTTATGTACCACCAGATTTTAATATACATACATTCAAAACTGCAATCCTCTCCCAATTCATCCAACATCATCACAAGAAGGAAAACTCCTGTTTGGCCTGCAGTGACTCCTGGGATAGGGTGGACCAGCATGGAGACAATTTGAGAACACATTTTGAGTGTTTTTCAAATTTGGACATTTTGCTGGGATGTAACCTGTTTTAGATGCAGCCCTGGAAGGATGCGGTCCCTGAATTTTGACTCAGCCTAAGTTTGGGCAGCTGTGGTGGCAGCCATCTAGAATTGGGTTGACTCCAAAAGCTAATCAATTTGTCCAGCAGTTCATGAGATATTTTGTTAACAGACAGATGAAAAGCAGGTGGATAATTATATTCACACGTTTGAACATATACATTAAATATAATGTTTGCAGGTTTATTGCGGTGTCCATACCTCTGAATTACAACCGTAGACATGTGGACTATCGTCAGCTCATCCTGCTGTCTGCTACCTGGCTGCTAGCCCTAGCAGTCGCTTCGCCCGTCATCTTTGGCATCAACAACGTGCCTGAGCGTGACCCCAGCGAGTGCAAACTGGAGGACAACAACTATGTGGTTTATTCGTCGGTGTGCTCGTTCTTCATCCCGTGCCCCATCATGGTCCTGCTCTACTTCGGAGTTTTCAGAGGACTTCGGCGATGGGAGGAGGCCCGCAAGGCCAAACTGCGCAGCAGCATCGAGGCATGCAGGAAGCTGCAGCACGCAGCCATCACCACCGCCCTCCCCACACTGGCAGGCACCATTCCCGGGCCTCTGCCTATGCCCCTGCCCAGGATAATTGAAAGGGATCTGGCTCAGTCTCGCATGGATGACTCGGGCGACTACATACAGCAGGAGATTCCTTATCCTCGACAGTACAGAGAAAACTCTGTGCCAACAGTGACGTTCAGCCAGCAGAAATACATGAAGAAGAGAGCCAAGATAAACAGCAGAGAGAGGAAAGCCATGAGGGTCCTACCTGTCGTAGTTGGTGAGTAAAACAGACCTGCTGCAGCAAGAGGGATAACATGAGGTTTTAACGACCTTTAACTTTAAATAGGCGTGTACTCGTGACAGTTTGTTATCCCCAAGACAGATCGAATGCTAACTGAGCTCATTAAACATGGAAATGTTAGGGGTTAGGTCTCATTCCCCAATGATTGAACTTCTGATCCACACAACAGTGGCAGAGATTTATGACCCCAACTATCACTGGCTGAAGTGTAGAAAGAAGAAAAGACACCAAGTCGTGATGAGACAATCCAAAAACGTGTGACATGTCAACTTTTAGCTTTTTCTTTGAATTACAAATAATCTTTGTCTTCAAGACTCTCAGACAGAGAGTGACAGGATCTACGATGAAACTGGACAGTTTAATCCCATATTAAGAGATTTATGAGCTGGCTATTATTTTGCACCATGGATTTCACTGTTTTCTTATATACAGTTACAGTAGTTTAAATTAACCTTGTTCAGTTAGAAATTGTCTCTATGATCAGCTTCCAAAATGTCAGACCAAAGTGAAAACATGTCTATCCTCTGTTCTTGGGCCTTCTTTCTGCACAAAGCAAGTTTCTTCTTGAAAGCCTGAACTTTGTATGCAACCAAAAATGTTCTGACAGCACAAATCAGCGGCAGGCAGAATCAACTCCACAGCTATGCTTTCTTAATCCATATCCAGTGTTGGGGAGAATACTTTGTAAATATATTTAGTTACAGAATAATGAATACTTGATTTAAATGTATTTAGTTACAGAATAATGAATACTTGATTTAAATGAATTTTGTAATGCATTCTGTTACTTTGCATAATCCTGGTACTGTATTCTAAATACTTCAAATATCTCCCCTAAAAACAGCATCTATTAAATGTCACAATATGCGTTGGTAGCTACATCCGCAGAAAAACAGAGGGCATATTAATACTAAACAGTATGTGCGGATGGGGAGAAAACTAAATAAAACTATGTAATTATTTTGTTACTTTATTTATCAAAGTGTTAATAGATGATATTTCTGTTTCTGTAATGAAGTGAAACTTTTCTGCCGGAGCTGCTAACCAAATCACAGCGAGTTTATTTAGAAAAAGTATGCATTTTTTATGTTTTTGTATGTCTTATGTAATTTTTTACCTAATAATAAGTAATACAGCCATGAGTCTTCTTGGTAAAGATGCAACAAGTTTCTTACACCTGGATTTGGGAGATTTTCTGTCATTCCTCCTTGCAGATCCTCTCCATTTCAATCAGGTTGGATGGTGAACGTTGGTGGAGAGCCATTTTTAGGTCTCTCCAGAGATGCTCAATTGGGTTTAAGTCAGGGCTCTGGCGGGGCCATTCAAGAACAGTCACAGAGTTGCTATGAAGCCACTCCTTTGTTATTTTAGCTGTGTGCTTAGGGTCATTGTCATGTTGGAAAGTAAACCTGTGGCCGAGTTTGAGTTCCTGAGCACTCTGGAGAAGGTTCTTATGCAGGATATGCCTGTACTTGGCCACATTCATCATTCCTCGATTGCCACCAGTCGTCATGTCCCTGCAGCTAAAAGACACCCCCACAGCATGATGCTGCCACCACCATGCTTCACTGTGGGGACTGTATTGGACAAGTGATCAGCAGTGCCTGGTTTTTTCCACACACACTGCTTTTGGCCGTTACACACTAGCATCAGCTCCACTCCGCCTGGACCAGGTTCCGGGTTATCTCACTGAGCCTTGAATTTTCCTGGGAGCAGCCAGACGTCTTTTCAGACCTCTTCTCGAGGAGGTCTGCCTGGAGCTGAACAGGGCTGACACGCCCATTGCTGACTGATGTGCTGGCTCAAAAGCATGCCAACCATTAAGGGGAGCCTTCTATTGGCAGATAGAATCAGCCCGTGGGGGCTTCCCGCACACGCGATTCATTATCATTCTGGATACTGTGGAGTTAGCAAGCCTCTGACTGAAGCTGCTTTTTTGTCCCTCACTGCTGTGAGTAGGCAGGCACACACACACACAAACACACACACACACACACACACACACACACACACACACACACAGTACTGCCAGACACAGCAAAGCAGGATGCAATATCAGAGAGTCTTCAAAAGCAAGACTGCTCAAGCCGCTTTTGTTTACTAATGGAGACACTGCAGACTTCTGCGCACTCTTTTGCCCCACTCACATGCTCAGAGATGTGCTTATGACATCACAGACCACCCATGTGCTCAATTGCCTTCGCATTTCTAAGGCAGTGTGGAACAAACGCGGCCAGGCTGGGGTGGGCGGGGCGGAGTGGAGCCGCTGCTAGTGTCTAAGTGGGATTACAAGTGAGGCCAAAAAGTTCTGTCTTGGTCTCGTCAGACCAGAGAATCTTATTTCTCACCTTCTCTGAGTCCTTCAGGTGTCTTTTAGCAAACTCCATGCAGGCTTTCATGTGTCTTGCACAGAGGAGAAGCATAAAGCCCTAACTGGTGGAGGGCTGCAGTGGTTGACTTTCGACAAATATCTCCCATCTCCTGATTGCATCTCTGGAGCTCAGCCACAGTGATTTTTTTGGGTTCCTCTTTACCTCTTTCACCAAGATTCTTATCCCCCTCTTGCTCAGTTTGACAGCCTGCTCTAGGAAGGGTTTTGGCCGTCTCAAACGTCTTCCATTTAAGGATTATGGAGGCCACTGGGCTCTTAGGAACCTTACTTACAGCAGAGATGTTTTTGTAACCTTGGCCAGATCTGTTCCTCATCAATTCTGTCTCTGAATTCTTCAGGCAGTTCCTTTGACCTCATGATTCTCATTTGCTCTGACATGTATTCTTCTTCTTCTTCTTCTTCTTCACTAAAATAGGCAGGCTAGACGCCTATAAGGCGTATTGCTGCCACACCAGCCAACACACCGAGCCAGCACACCCCACTGCACACAACAGGCACATGTACCATCCCACCCTGTGTTCTCACACAACCACCATCAACAAAAACCCACCACCCGCTCACACCCCAGTGAAAACACACAACCCCACATGGAGGTTCACCCCACACTCACACTCCCACCCCCAGCATCTACACCCACCATCAAGGGTGTCCCACAATCCAGAACCCCCAACACCCCGCAAACACGTCGCCCCCCCAAACCTCCTCGGGGGACACGTCAGAAAAACCCAAGAAGGCACCCGCCACTGCTGTCACCTAACGAGCTACATCGGACTTGTTGGACGCTCCATTCTTCACCCTCCACAAGGCCTCAACCAGAAACGTCAAAAACGTTGTTTTATCCCTCACAACAGCCACACCCACCCCCACATCCCCACCACCAGTTGACAAAGGCACATTACAAGACCCAGACGCACCATTATTCCGCACCCCTATATGACGCACCGCCTCAGCATATGACACCTTGTGCCCAGCCTTAACCTTCCCCACCTCCACCGCCCCTCTATGCGCCACACAGCCCCTATAAGCCGCTTGACTGTTCCCCCCACAATTACAATATCGGAGAGGTAAATCACAACTCTTGCCGTCTTGGTCACCCCCGCACCTCCGACAAAGCACCCCCACCACACAGGCACCGACCACATGACCAGATCCCTGACACCTAAAACACACCTCAGAGGAGGTTCCTCATACCCCCTCATCATGAAACTAAGGAAACCCAACTGGACACGAGCAGGGAGCTCCACCGCGTTGAAAGTCATCAGCAGCGGCGTGGACCCATGTGCGTTAAACCCCAGACTTTGAACAGCCACCACCGCCGCCCCACTCAGGGAATCAAACACCTCAGACTCAGAGACCTCATTGGAAATGCCGTACACCACTGCATGTTTTACTCTTTCTCCAGAATTCTCAATCCTCTCTCTCCCATTCAATAGAACTGATAAACTATTTTTCAAGAGTTTCAGATTACTCTATAAACTGGTTAAAATCCACAGTTCTACCAATTAATTTCTCTTTTGTCAATTTGCTTAATACACAGTTGGAGTCAGGGAATGTCACATACCTGGGAATTAATGTCTCTCCCATGTTGGCAGATCTAACCAAACTAAACTACATCCCACTTTTAAAGAAAGTGGATGATGATCTTGCAAGATGGAAATCCTTACCAATATCACTCATGGGGAGAGTTGCTACAATTAAAATGATGGTCTTACCCAGAATAAATTACTTGTTCTAGATGATCCCAAACAAACCACCAGCTGACTGGTTTAAATCTCTGGACTCCTCAATTACCAAATTCCTTTGGCAGGATAAACCTCCACGAATTAGCTTAAAAATGCTTCAGAAGGCCAAAGACAGAGGAGGACTGGATTTACCCAACTTTTATTATTATTTCTTAGCCAACAGGCTGCAATATATACCAAGATGGTTGCAAGATAACCCACTAGATGAGTCCTGGTTAGATATAGAACAGACACTTTGCAATACGATAGAGCTTTCAGACTTACCATTTATTAGCTCAAGCATAAGAAAACATGAAAGCTTCAAAAGTATTAGTATCAGCACTTCTCTGACAGCATGGTGGGAGTATCTTAAAATGACAGAGTCTTCACTAGTACCATGCAGACGCACACCTATCTGGAATAATCCTGACATTTTGCAAAATAACAAAATGATGAACCTTCCGGACTGGAAAAATAAAGGGATCCTATACCTGGAACACATATATGAAGAAGACTTCATCCCTTTTAATCGAATAGTCTCCGAATTTGGAATGGATAAGAATAGCTTTTTAGAATATCATCAAATTAAATCTGTAGTCAAACAAAAATGTAAGCTCAATAAAATAGAATTACAAATACCACCAAGGGTATTAGACTTCTATAATCTCAAACCCCCCAAACTACTGTCTAAAGTATATAAGACACTGTCCAAAATAGACGATAAAATTGCAATGCCTATTGAAAAATGGGAGGTGGATCTATCAGTCAGCTTTGACCAGAACTTCTGGTCCCAAACTTGTTTAAAAACTTTTAAAATGATCAGACACCCCAATTTACAATTAATTCAGTACAAAATTCTACACAGAGTACACTATACAGGTCATCGGATGTTCAAGATGGGGTTTGTGTCGTCTGACACCTGTACACACTGCACAAACAACATTCCTGACAATTACATTCACGCGCTGTGGTCCTGTCCACCTGTCCAGGAATTTTGGGGTAGAGTATGTGAGGATCTGTCAAAATGTCTGAAATGTCATATCCCAACTTTGTTTACTGAGAAACCTGGACGATGTCCCGATTGAAACATCTTTGGTTCACGTGGTTCTGACTGCCATATGCATCGCTAAGAAAACTATCCTCTTGAATTGGAAAAATAGAGAAACTCTCTGCAATAACCAGTATAGAAATCTTTTGTTAGATCATATTACACTTGATTTAGCCTCTGCTTCCACTTCAAATCAATCTCTCTGGGCTCCTTTGATCGGTTCCATCACATAGCGATGACGGGGGACCATTGATATTGTCCTGCGGGATGATGTGGGTGGGGGGGTGGAGGGTCTGAGTTTGGAGTATCCGGATGTTCCCTGGAGGTGGGTTCACTGGGGGTGTCTGGGACTGGGGGGCCGTTGCCCCCCTCTGGAGGTGCTTGGGTTGCCTCGGGGGGTGGACTACTGGTGGTTGTGAGTGGGAACTCTTGGAGGTCTTGGCGGCGGCCATGGGTCACTGCCTGGCAGCTGCATTGCCCCTGGAAGGGTCTGGGTGGGGGCCTTGGGGCTCGGGGTGTGGGGGTGGCCGGCCCCCTGTGGGGATCTGGGCGGGGCCTTGGGGGTCGGGTCCTGATATGTATGCTGCCGGGAAGAAGGCAGGAACATGCAGCAGTGCCTGGCCCGGGTTCAGGGGCCTCGGGTAGACCTTGGCTCCTCTGCTGTCCCATCACAGGGGAGGGGAAAGTCCAGGAGGGGGAGGACCCAACCTTACCTGGATGTCCTATGTCTTTTATAGTCCAGAAGTTGTGCAAATGCAGGGATGGGTGTAGATATTCTGCTGGGGTGGGGCTGGGTTGGTGCCCTCGGACTCCGTGAGGCTCTGCAATGCTGCTGCTTTGGGCCCTGGCAGGATGGGCTGGGGTCTCCATGTCCTGGGTGGCATTCTGACAACAGAGGTGCCTATTGGGGGCAGTGGGGGAGCTGGCTCCCTGGAGGGCTAAGCCCAACCAGCCATTCCTCCCCATCCCCGCATATTTCTCTCCTCCTGCTCCCACACATCATCACACAAACATACACATAGGACCTTGGGGGGTGGACAAGTCAGGGAGTGCGGGTATGGACCCCATTTCTGCATTCCTGTGGCAACCTACCGTATACACTTCCACCGACGACATTCCACGCAAACACACACTTAGGGCCTTGGGAGTGAGCGCATTCAACAGCACTTGGCAGGGGGATTTCTCAGCCTCATCCCGAGTGCCGGTGCCCACTTCCAATTTTAAACTGCATTTAGACACCGAGTACTGTGGGTGCAAGTGGGGCGATGCGGTGGCATCAGCTGGCATAGGCCAGACAATGCCCACACTGCCCGCTCACCACAGCCATGGAATACACCTCATCAACACACAACACTATATTAGAGCAGGCGGAGGGAGACTAGGGGTCTTAGCACACCTCTGTTGTTGCTTGGCTTCCTGGGGCTGGCGGCTAGGAGGGAGATCTGGCCATCTGGTTGGGGCCTGGGGTGGTGGGTTGCTGTGTTCAGTGTTGGGCGGGGGAGCCTGTTCATCAGCATCCCAGAAGAACAGGTCAAACTCTGGTAACTGGTATTGGTTGTACCCAATGTGCAGCAGTACCGGGATCAAAGTGAATAGGGTGTGTATGGGGAGCATGAGTGGGTGTCCGGCATGCATTTTTGTTAGTCTTTGGTTGTATGTGCATGTGTGAGCATGAGGGAGGGAGTGTGTGACTGTGTTTGTGTATGACTGTATATGTCAGGTGGGGCCTTTGACTCCTCTCTTCTCCTGGGACTTCTTTTGATGACATAGATCTTCATCTCCCCTCCCCCTGCCACACCTGGTGTGGAGAATGGTGCCTCTGTCTGCTGGCTCCCGGGTCAGGGGGTTTAAGATTTTTGGCTTCTGCCTGATCAATCCTGGTGGCTGCCTGGTGGGGTCTGGGTCCCTGGGCTCTGCTGGATCCCCGGCGGGGGTGGTCGCCCCTGGGTCCCGGGTCGCTGGGTCCCGGGCTCGGCCAGCTAGGGGGTGGGAGGCTGCTGGCGGGCTTGTGGGCTTGCCGCTGATGTCTCCCGGGACTCTGCCGGCTGCTGGTTGTGGTCCCCCGGGGCGATCCTCTGTGCCTCTCGAGGGGGGTGGAGGCCTTTCTGGTTGCAGTCTCCTTGGGGTTCCTGTGTTCTGGGGCAGTACCTGGATCTCTGGGACTTGGAGCTCCCCCTGTCTCCTAGACTCTTTGGGGGGCAGATCTGTGGTCCCTCACACTCTCTATTGGACGCGCCTCCTATAGAGAAACCTTACATAAACAAGCACGTGTACACACACAGGTGCTCACATGGTGCTCTCAAAAGTATGGGCCTGGGCACGTTCAACACATGTCTTAAGGCTGTCGTTGCCACTAAATGCACTATGATTTATTATCGTGTGATTGTTCAGTTAAACAATGTTGATTTTATATTTCATCAGCAGGCTGACGCAGCGATAGCTTGCTCCTGATGTATTGTTGTGTGTCCCATTTTTTTTCTTCTATTCTTTCTTTTTCTGCAGGTCTAGAAGCAGACTCTTGTTCATTATTGTTTATTTTTGTGCTATATATATATATATATATATATATATATATATATATATATATATATATATATATATATATATCCATCTTAGTAAAAGCAAAGCCCACCTCTCCAAATGCGTAGTGTTCATCACAGCCGCGCGCACCGTCAGCTACGTCAGCCCAGACGAGAGCAGAGAAAATAGAGAAAGAATAGAGGATAATTCTGTCTGGATGTGGATGGAGATTACATTTTACAGCAGCCTGATCATCATTTAAATACATAAACCATCACCTGTCTTCTAGTCCACGCTATCAGCATTATTTGTGTGTGTGTGTGTGTGTGTGTGTGTGTGTGTGTGTGTGTGTGTGTGTGTGTGTGTGTGTGTGTGTGTGTGTGTGTGTGTGTGTGTGTGTGTGTGTGTGTGTTTTCCACATTAAACACTGGTCTAACCAACCAGACCAGCGTGTCCAGTAACATATTAATGTTACAATTAAACAGTTTCACTTCATGTAGGCTAGGAACATTCCACCTGCCGTGGCCCGACCGCTTCCGCTCCACATAAACTTTGTGCGTGATCAAATGTCTCTACAGGTGCTTTCTGAGCTGAAGAGGCTATTCTGGCTCAGACTGGATGCGTCATGCGTCTCCATATTGCAGATGGGAACAAGCGCTATTCAGCCAAAGTTTCATAATCAGAGAACAATTTTCCAAGTGATACATCCCTCAGAGAGACCGGGTTTCCAGACTGCTTCAGTGGGAGGAAATCTTATCGCATGCACCGTGGTTCTGCACTGCAATGCGAACCCCTCTACAGATCTTCATCCCACTGTCCAACGTGTGCGCTCCAAGCCGCGCTGAGCACAGTGTCCAGTATAAAGCTCTGATGTTCTGATGGGAATCATGTCTTGATTGATTTAGTTACCTCCATGACGTGTGTAACGATTGAAACGTCAGCTCATCCATGCGCATCAGTGTGCGTCGGGGTAATTCTTTCAAAACAACCAACATCCTTGAGTTTATCCATCAAAATAAACAGTCAAATGGAAATATATGTAACCTGCCATTTAACTGTTTTGCCTTCATGTGAAGATTGTTGCAAAGAGAAACAACTAAACTTGATTAACCCCAGAGCCACGCGCACTGCACTGTACTCCGTAACTGTAAATGAGGGGGAGACGATTCAATCGGATCCTTTTCTTTTCAACATGGTTTAATGTAAAGTTTCATTCAGTACAAACTTTAGTTACACCAATCTAACGAGACAGATCCTGGATTTGTATTCTGAACAGTTTAAACATGTTTAAAACTGAGACATGAGTGACGCGTCTAAAATTCGCACCTGCTCAACTATTCTGGAAATTAAACTAACAGGATGAATAACATGAAATTATTTTAGGCACAGAGAACATCCCCCACACTTTCGAAAATCTTGCAACGCGCCTGGCTGCAACACAAACAGCTGCTTAAAAATCTAGTGTTTGATTTTTTTAAACAGAAGTGCAGACAGCATTCAGAACTGCAGCTTGCTGTAGAAAAGCCTCCTGCCATTACAGGCATTAGATGTGCACGAGACTTGATTAAACTGTCACAGCAAGCAGCAAAGTCTCAACACAAATGCAAAAACTAACACTGGAGAATTGCTAAGAGCAGCTCAGTGGCCTAGTGGTAGAGTGTCCGCCCTGAGACTGGGAGATCAGGGTTCAATTCCTGCTCGAGTCATACCAAAGAATTAGAAAAAAATGGGACCCAATGCCTCCCTGCTTGACACTCAGCATTACGGGGTCGGATTGGGGGGCTAAACCACCAGATGGTTCCCGAGCGTGGCTGTGTCTGCAGCTCACCGCTCCCCCAGGGGATGGGTCAAATGCGGAGAACAAATATCGCACACACATCAGTGTGTGTGACAACTAATGGAACTTTAACTTTAAGACCTCTAACTCCCTCCTCATTATCTTCCTGCAGGTTGCTTCCTGTTCTGTTGGACTCCTTTCTTTGTGGTCCACACAATGCGAGCCTTATGTCTGACCTGCAACATCCCTCCCATTCTGATGAGCACCGTCACCTGGCTGGGTTATGTCAACAGTGCCCTCAATCCCATCATCTACACCATCTTCAACACAGAGTTTAAGAAATTCTTCAAGAAATGTTTCCGTAGCTGCTGCTGACACCAGGTTTCCTCCACCGGCTCCAGAACAAGGTTTGGATCTACAACTTAGAACTTTTGACTGGGAGGTTGCCAGTTAACCAGTTGCTCTGACTTGAATCAGGAATGATGAGGAATTAATTATTTATACTACATCTTCGCTAACGATTTGGTCGCTTATTAGATGTTAATAATTAGGAATTAGTTCAGATTTGTATGGCTAATCTCTCCCCATCTGCTAGCTGACACCCTTCCAATGATTTAAGAACTGTTCATTTGTTGCACAAATTGTCAGGAGGAAATATCTGATCTGCTTTGATATTTTTGTATACAAAAAAGTGTTTATTAAAATTTCTAGATTTGAGCTCATAGAACCCACTATGGACTATTTACTTACTAATGCTAGTTCCAAGTGGATTACTGCTGGTTAAAATACCAATCAATCATCAATCAGTCAATCAATCTTATTTTTTATACAGCTCCTTCTACCACCTTAGCGGAGTGTCAAAACAGCACAAAAAAAAAACAAGGATACAAACATCCTAGTAGATAAAAGAGAATAAAATAGTAATAGATAAATAAAAGTAAAAGCTATTATAAGCCATACAGAACAAAAAATAAAATACAACAGCCAGTGTCAAGGGTGTTGGGGGAAAGCTGACAGATAAAAGTGAGTTTTCAGGTGAGACTTAAACTCCAGAAGAGAAACAGCTTGCTACAACTTCCTAAACATCATTAAACGGGTTTAATGCAACAATATTTCATGAATCTTACTTATATGGTCTTTTCCATATGATAAGTCAATAGTTATTTACAGCAGACATTTTATATGAATCACTATAACTATTTTGAGATGAGCATAATATTATATTTCTACTTGGATTTTGCAATTTTCACAACAAAAGCATGTTTTATTTAGTCTTTCTTCTGCACCCTCTGATGGGTTACCTCTGAAGCATCATATGGTAAAGATTTAAAAGTAGCATAAAGACAAATAGACACTAGCGTCCCTCTTGAAATAAACAGAGCTAACTATTTTACATACATATATTTAATGCAAACAGCATCCATGCGCAGCAATATTTCCAAGTATCCACAGACAGCGCTGTCTCGTTTCTCCTGTAAACAGCTCCACTCTGCCCCCTGCTGAACCAAACCTCCGCTGTAGAAACGATGTGCTTCATTAGATATAATCATTCAAACACGTGACATGGCATGGAAACAAGGTCATAACACTCCTCTAGTGACGAGCCACAGCACAGCATGACTTAGTCAAATAATAGTTGAGTTAAATAATAGTGGTTGCATATTTTTCCCATCATCAAGCAGCCCTTGATTACAGATGACTCCAAACTAACATCCCTCACTAACCCATCTACACAGGTATGAGCTCCTCAAAGCATTCCCACTAAGTATTTAGAAAATAATCTAATAAATAAATATAACAGGTAGAACAATAAATGATTAAAGATAAGCAGCAACTTTTTCATTTCTAATTTTCATTTTTATTTCATTTGCCTCCTGACTTAAATCCAACAGACGTTCCTGGATTTCCTGCTGCAATTCCCAAATGAACATTGGTCAGGGGAAGCTGAGCAGTCCAGACTTTATTGAAAGTCTGCTTTCTTGCCGTTTGATCCAGTCTGCTGCTGAGAGGACGACACATCTACGCCCGGATGGGAAACACAGCGAATAGCATGGAGCATATGTAAGGTTTTGTATTTCTGCTGCGTGGTGGTCCTCCATGTGGTGCCAGTGAGACAGAAGCACCACAATGTTGTGTCAGTTTTATTTGTACTTTGGGTTGTTTATTTAGTCCCAACTGCGAAAATGTTGCACTTAACATCTAAAGTCAGTTTTTGCTCCAGCAACAAACCAACATGTCCGTGTGATCAGCCAGAGCTGAAACATTTTCATCTTGCTGCTTGAATTTCTTAATCATGAAACCAGATTTTCTTTTGTAAAATGTGTTTCATAGTTACAAACAGAAACAGCACTGTTGTTATTATTACTAACAATAATAATAATTAATCTTTCAGAAATGTGTTTGATTTTTAACTTGATTTAACAGAAATTTAAACCACGTTTGTTTTTAGATCCTGTTTTTTAACGTTGTGTTTGAGAAGTTGGCTTTGTCTGATGTAACGACTCGGCCGACTGCAAACATTGTCCACATTTTATATGGAAACTGTAAATAAAGTGGGTTAAAGATCTGGAGGGTCCTGTGGTGTTTTGATGCTTGGGGAAGGGGGGTGATGAAACATTGTGAAAGGGGTTGAAAGGAGTGCTCATCAGTGGAACAACACACACACACACACACACACACACACACACACACACACACACATTGTGAAATTCTCCAAACTCTAACATTTCCTGTGGACATCTGGTTTTGGGTGGTATGCAGACATGCAATGGGTGAAACATCCTTAAAATCCCACCTGGGTGCTTTATTCCTTGTCAGGGATGGGCCAGATGCAGAGAAATAATTCCAATAAAGTTTTTATTACTATTGTTATTATTACTATGATTATGATTATTAGCTTTATTATTATTATTATTATTATTGTGTATATAGAGTGTGTGTGTGTGTGTGTGCGTGCGTGCGTGCGTGCGTGCGTGCGTGTGCGCGCGCGTGTGTGTGTGTGTCATGTAGCTGGTTGGTTCAACAGGTTAATTTTCTCATCTTTGTTTACGTTGCTCATTTCTTCCCCATCAAACCGACAGCATGAACCAATATTCCAACCTGAGCTGAACTAGAAGGGCGAGTAAAGAGTTGGAGAACAGCTTTTCTGTCGCAGGATGAAACTGTTCCACTAGGAACCCAGTTCATTCTTCATGGGTGTTGCTCAGAGACAGAAAGTAACAGAGTACTAGTACTTTGTTACTGTACTTAAGTACATTTTTCTATACTTTTACTTTACCTAATATGTTTTCTTAGGCCTATGTTTTAAGTTTACTTCACAACATAGCTTGCATTTAGCCAACATTTTAAAACAATTATCTGTACTTTTTACTTCACTACAATTTCTAAAATGTTTTAAAAGTACAGTGGTGGCAATTACTTTCATTTGAGTTTTGTCCAACCCCCCCATCATGATGGACACCAAACACTCACTCCCTTGTCTGCTCCGAACAGCAATTCTCTTCTGCACACATATTTAAATGTTAGTTAAATACTTTCATTTTTTTATTTTTTATTGCATTTGACAATGCACACTTTAAACATTTTAGTTAAGTCTTTATCTCCACTTGTACTTAAGTAAAAGTACTTTATCCAGCAGCACTGCTGCGTTTACTTTCCCTTGGCAGCAGCAAAAGATTGGGCTCAGCCACGACAAGCAGAACTTTAAGAACTGGCTGGACACCTAATGTGAGAAGACGCGTGAAGCGAAGGAGGCTCTGAGACAGAAAGACGAGCGTTATGAGAGATTGACCAAACACATCAGCATCTCTGACTCCCCACAGGAAGGCCCCACAAAGAGGATGGGCCTGTGGCAGAAAAGATGCTTATGGTGAGTCATCATGAGGTGAGTTTAGAGCTGGTTTATAAACAGATCTACTCTGATGTCTGATCACTAACTTCTAAAGTGTTTCTGTTTTCCACTGATGAAGCTCACACCACCCCCAAGGCTGCTTCCTCTCCTGACAACATCTTATTTTCTCTTTGTAAAAACAAAGTTTATACATTCAGAATGGGTTTTACCGTGGTCGTCCCTGGTTTTTATGGGCACCACCTTGTGTGGACTTCATATAAACACGAGTTTCTTGAATTTTTTTATTTTTATTTTTAATGAAAATTCCCTCTGAGGAAGAACTCCAATTAAATAATAACATTTGTTTGAACATCAGATTTTTTATTACACTAATGGTCATAATTTCTGTTTAACACAGCACCTAGTATACAGTGGTGTGAAAAACTATTTGCCCCCTTCCTGATTTCTTATTCTTTTGCATGTTTGTCACATAAAATGTTTCTGATCATCAAACACATTTAACCATTAGTCAAAGATAACACAAGTAAACACAAAATGCAGTTTTGAAATGATGGTTTTTATTATTTAGGGAGAGAACAAAATCCAACTGTGTGAAAAAGTAATTGCCCCCTGAACCCAATAACTGGTTGGGCCTCCCTTAGCAGCAATAACTGCAATCAAGCGTTTGCGATAACTTGCTACGAGTCTTTTACAGCGCTCTAGAGGAATTTTGGCCCACTCATCTTTGCAGAATTGATGTAATTCAGCTTTATTTGAGGGTTTTCTAGCATGAACCGCCTTTTTAAGGTCACGCCATAGCATCTCAATAGGATTCAGGTCAGGACTTTGACTAGGCCACTCCAAAGTCTTCATTTTGTTGTTCTTCAGCCATTCAGGTGGATTTGCTGGTGTGTTTTGGGTCATTGTCCTGCTGCAGCATCCAAGATCGCTTCTGCTTTAGTTGACGAACAGGTGGCCGGACATTCTCCTTCAGGATGTTTTGGTAGACAGTAGAATTCATGGTTCCATTTATCACAGCAAGCCTTCCAGTTCCTGAAGCAGAAAAACAACCCCAGACCATCACACTACCACCTTCATATTTCACTGTTGGTATGATGTTCTTGGTCTGAAATGCTGTGTTACTTCTATGCCAGATGTAACGGGACATTTGCCTTCCAAAAAGTTCAACTTTTGTCTCATCAGTCCACAAAGTATTTTCCCAAAAGTCTTGGCAATCATTGAGATGTTTCTTAGCAAAATTGAGACGAGCTCTAATGTTCTTTTTGCTTAACAGTGGTTTGCATCTTGGAAATCTGCCATGGCGGCCATTTTTGCCCAGTCTCTTTCTTTTGGTGGAGTCGTGAACACTGACCTTAACTGAGGCAAGTGAAGCCTGCAGTTCTTTAGAAGTTGTCCTGGGGTCTTTTGTGACCTCTCAGATGAGTTGTCTCTGCGCTCTTCCATGTTGTTGCCATTTGTGGATAATGGCTCTCACTGTGGTTCGCTGGAGTCCCAAAGCTTTAGAAATGGCTTTATAACCTTTACCAGACTGATAGATCTCAATGACTTTTGTTCGCATTTGTTCTTGAATTTATTTGGATCTTGGCACGATGTCTAGCTTTTGAGGTGCTTTTGGTCTACTTCTCTGTGTCAGGCAGCTCATATTTAAGTGATTTCTTGATTGAAACAGGTGTGGCAGTAATCAGGCTTGGGGGTGGCTACAGAAATTGAACTCAGGTGTGAAACACCACCGTTGGGATATTTTTTTAACAAGGGGGGCAATTACTTTTTCACACAGGGCAATGTAGGTTTGGATTTTGTTCTCTCCCTAAATGATAAAAACCATCATTTCAAAACTGCATTTTGTGTTTACTTGTGTTATCTTTGACTAATGGTTAAATGTGTTTGATGTTCAGAAACATTTTGTGACAAATATGCAAAAGAATAAGAATCAGGAAGGGGGCAAATAGTTTTTCACACCACTGTAGCTGAACTGGGTATTTTTCACCATAACACAATAATGTGTTCCTGACACTGCGGGGTGTGTGACTGACGTGAAGAACCAGAAAGCTTTATATAAAAAAAGGCATTTTACGATCACTATAGACTATTTAAATAAATTATTAAGAAAGGAAACTCTTCACAGTTTTCTCTTGGCTACCTCCCTTCATTCTGAGCCAGATATTTTAGTTTGTTACTCATTAGTTCAGACGGCTGTTTCTGGGGTTTTCATGCATCGTGTCCCTGCGAGTCACCTGTTCGTAGTTACTGAATGGATGAATGAGCGTCTGAGCAGGTGTGAGCAGAAGTTTAAGGGTTCTACTGCAGAAGCAGATCAGGGATTAAATGGAGCGGAAGGAGCTGCTGGACTCCTTTTCAGTTCTAAAGGAGGATGACTTTATCTGTAATTTGACCTTTCAGCTGATGCTTTTCAAGTTTTGCCAACTGTCTTAAAACTTACTTAATTACACAGCAGCTCTTTCAGATGGAAATCACAAATTGTGAACAAAAAAAGGAAAAAGAGCAGTGATCATTTCACTAAGTCCCTGAATGTGTCTATTGAAGCTCCGATAGTGGAAATCCAGTGGTTTTGGTCTTATGACTGACCCGGCGGCATCCTGTGTGGGGCGCTGGGGGGTATGAGGTGAATGGTCCTCTGCTAGGGCCACACAGTCCCTGTAAAAAGAGTGTGACTCTGGTCTGTTCCAAGGATCTCGTGTCTGCTTTTGTGGATGATTTGGTTCTCCAGCTCCATCAAACTATGACCTTCAACTCTTGCAGAGGAGGATCTCAGCTAGGATGAAGATCAGCACCTCCATATCTGTGGGGATTGTTCTCTGACAGAAAAGCGTGGACTGACAGTTCTGTCCTGGCGGGATCGTGGGTGCATTTTCTTTTTGTTAAAGTTAAAGTCCCACTAGTTGTCACACACACCAGTGTGTGTGAAATTGGTTCTGTGCATTTGACCCATCCCCTGGGGAAGCGGTGAGCTGCACTCAGGAACCATTTGGTGGTTTTTGGCGCTGCAAGTTTGTTTTTACATGAACCTTTACATGTTTTACATGTCTTACTGCACTTTGTCCAATTTGATGAAACTGAATGATGCTAAAACAGGAGAAAACAATCATTTAGAACTTTGCTGAATTTCTTTTCTCTGTTTTCAGTTATTTTTGTCTCCGTCTCTAATCTCTGCAGCCAGAGTTGATAAAAGGTGGTCATTTTACACCCCTCCCTATGGAAGCACACTCCTCTCCCAGTAATTAGTCTTATCCCGACTGTCTGATCTATCTTGCAGCTCTGTGCCTTTGCATGAATATTTTAAAGCAGCTCCAACATGAAGCCGACACTTTTGTGTTTAATCTGAACTCCTGAGGGCTCAGCCGTTCCTGCTGCTGCTCTGCAGGGCGCTGATCTCCGGATGATGAGTGTTTGAAGCCACCTGCAGCTCATTAGGTACACACTGACCTGGGAACATTGTGGTCAAGAGGCACAAATACATTTTAAGTGTCTCCGTGGGAACTTACGGCAAAATCAGCGCAGAACGAGGTTATAAATTTAACCGTTTCTTTTACTTTTATGAACAATATTAAGAGTGTGATGAAGAAAACCTGCAAGTTTTAATTTCAGAATGTAAAACTCATCCTTACTAGATCCACTGATTATGGTTTATTTGGGCCAAAATCTTTTTTTCCAAATAAGTCCACTACAGACTTTTGACTCAAAACCATTTTAGTCTCAAATAAAAACAGGAAGCAGCAATGTTGGCATGCAGATTTAGTCCCACAGCGAAGGAAATAAAACAAAGAAAATGGAAATGGAAGCTTTTTGACCCTTTGATGTTGTCACATGCGCAGGTAAGTTGAGCCAGAGCTGAGGATCCACATGCTGGGGAAGAAGCAGGCAGGCAGAGAGGAATGTTAAAGAGTTTTTAATCATGAGCACGCAGGACATGGAGACACACAGAACTGAGAGGGTTTAAACACATGAGGGCTGTGAGCTTGGGTGATTGGAAAATGAGAGGCAAGTGGGAGTAATCAGGAGACATAGGACTGAACAGAGTGGGGAGACAGGACAGGGTGTGACAGTACCCCCACCCCCCCACCCCCAAAAAAAAGGCGGCACAGGATGCCCAACACAGGCCTAGACAGAGTCTGGGGGGCCTGCACCTGGAACACAGGAGGTGGCGGTGACTGGCTCTGGGAGGCCTGTGCCTGGCGAGGGCAGGGCTGGCGGTGGAGCCACTGGGGGCGGGGCCGCTGGCTTGGCTGGAGGCGGGGCCGCGGCAGGCACTGGACCTGGCGCGGACTGGACTGGAGGATTTTTCAAAGTGTGTTTTTATTTGTCAGGAATGTAAAATGGCTTTCATCATATTTCAATTTTCTGATTATATGTAAAATTAAATAAAAAACGAAATAAATACTCCCATGCCCCCTCCATCACCCTTGCAAGGGTATAGAGCTGGTCCACAGTTCCATGGCCAGGACGAGAACCACATTGCTCCTCCTCAATCTGAGATTCAACTATCGATCGGACCCTCCTCTCCAGTACCTTGGAGTAGACCTTTCCAGGGAGGCTGAGGAGTGTGATCCCCCTATAGTTGGAACACACCCTCAGGTCACCCTTCTTAAAGATGGGGACCACCACCCCGGTCTGCCACTCCACAGGAACTGCTCCCGATGACCACGCAATGTTGCAGAGACGTGTCAACCACGACAGCCCTACAACATCCATAGCCTTGAGATACCCAGGACGAATCTCATCCGCCCCCGGGGCTCCGCTGCTGTGTAGTTGTTTGACTACCTCAGCAACTTCTGCCCCCGAGATTGGACAGTCCATCCTCAGGTCTCCCAGCTCTGGTTCCTCCTCGGAATGCGCGTAGGTGGGATTGAGGAGCTCCTCAAAGTATTCCTTCCACCGTCCGACTATAGACCCAGTTGACGTCAGCAGCTCCCCATCCCCACTGTAAACAGTGTGAGCGAGTTGCTGCCTTCCTCTCCTGAGGCGCCGGACAGTTTGCCAGAACCTCTTTGGAGCCGATCGATAGTCTTTCTCCATGGCCTCACCAAACTCCTCCTACGCCCGAGAATTTGCTTCGGCAACTGCCACTGCTGCACCCCGCTTGGCTATCCGGTACCTGTCTGCTGCCTCCGGAGACCCACAGACCAGCCACGCCCTGTAGGCCTCCTTCTTCAGCCTGACGGCTCCCCGAACCTCTGGTGTCCACCAGCGGGTACAGGGGTTGCCACCACAACTGGCACCAGCCACCTTGCGACCACAGCTAGCAACAGCTGCCTCAACAATCGCAGAGTGGAACAAGGCCCATTCGGAGTCAATGTCCCCCACTGCTCTCGGGATGCGGTCAAAGCTCTGCCGGAGGTGGGAGCTGAAGACCGTCTTTACAGGTTCTTCTGCCAGGCGTTCCCAGCAGACCCTCACTATGCGTTTGGGTCTGCCAGGTCTACGCGGCATCTTCCCCTGCCATCTGATCCAACTCACCACCAGGTGGTGATCAGTTGACAACTCCGCTCCTCTCTTCACTCGGGTGTCCAAAATGTGAGTTTGGTCCGCATAGCCGGTAGTAAGTCGGACCTGTTCCCGGTGAGGGTTGGACTCCGCCAGGGCTGCCCTTTGTCACCGGTTCTGTTCATTACCTTTATGGACAGAATTTCTAGGCGCAGCCGTGGTGTGGAGTGTGTCGAGTTTGGTGGCAGGAGAATCTCGTCTCTGCTTTTTGTGGATGAGGTGGTCCTCCTAGCTTCATCCAGCTCTGACCTTCAGCTCTTGCTGGGTAGGTTTGTGGCTGAGTGTGAAGCGGCTGGGATGAGGATCAGCACCTCCAAATCTGAGACCATGGTTCTCGACCAGAAAGGGTGGCTTGCCAACTCCGGGTAGGGAGAGAGGCCCTACCTCAAGTGGAGGAGTTTAAAGATCTTGGGGTCTTGTTCACGAGTGAGGGTAGGAGGGATCGGGAGATCGACAGGCGGATTGGTTCGGCGTCTGCAGTGATGCGGACGCTGAGCCGATCTGTCGTGGGGAAGAGGGAGCTGAGCCAGAAAGCCAGGCTCTCGATTTACCGGTCGATCTACGTCCCAATCCTCACCTATGGTCATGAGCTTTGGGTAATGACGGAAAGAACAAGATCGTGGATACAAGCAGCCGAAATGAGTTTCCTCCGTTGGGTGGCCGGGCTCAGCCTTAGAGATAGGGTGAGGAGCTCGGACATTCGGGAGGGACTCGGAGTAGAACTGCTGCTCCTCCGGATCAAAAGTCAGTTGAGGTGGTTTGGGCATCTGGTCAGGATGCCTCCTGGACGCCTCCCCGGGGAGGTGTTTCGGGCATGTCCTGCTGGCAGGAGGCCCCCGGGTCGACCCAGGACACGTTGGGAGAGGTTACATCTCCAATCTGGTCCGGGAATGCCTTGGGGTCCTGCCGGAGGAGCTGGTGGAGGTGGCCGGGGAGAGGACGGTCTGGAGCTCCCTAGTTTAGAGATGGTTCTGAAGCTGCTATGGAGAGGGGGGTCGAGACTCGGCTTTTTAAGAAGCGGGTGGATTTCAGCATTCTTAAAGTAAGCAGGGACCTGACCAGAAACCAGAGAAGCATTAATTATAGAAAGCACGCTGGGACCGATGGACAGAAAAGCACTTTTAAACAAAGATGAGGGTAAGATGTCGAGCGGGCATGCAGAGGTCTTCATAGAGTTAACTAGTTTGGTTAACTCAGGCAAAGAAACAGGAAGAAATCTAGGATGATGGGTCAGGTTGGAGTCGGGAGAGGCGGCGATAAGGCTGAAGGAGAGATGCTAGATCTAACCTTATTGACTTTGTCCACAAAGAAAGACAGAAAGTTCTCACAGTCTGTAACAGAGTGGATGGAGGCTGTAGGAGAGGCAGGAGAGACGATGCTGCTGATGGTGTTAAACAGCACCTTGGGGTTCCCTTTGCTCTGGGACACCAGGTTAGAAAAATAGGAAATCCCATCTCTGACTGTGGAGTTAAAGGATGTCAGAAGATCCTTTAGGTGCAGCAGATGGACGTGGAGATGGGTTTTCTTCCACAAACGCTCAAACTTTACATTTTCTAGTAAGTCGGCCAAAAGAATAAATTAAATATTAGCATCTGTGTGGGTCCACCAGGATGCCTCTGATCAATGTGATCTTTAAACAAACTAAACAGGACAATATGGGACCATCACCTGATTGGCTGTTATAGGTGTGGTACCACTGAGGAATCGGCCCCTACTGAAATCTGATTGGCCCCCTGAGGTGTCAACGTCCTGTCACTTTGCTCTGCGGTCAGATTGCAGATGGGTGCGATTCCAAGTGCAAGCACTAGTGGCACTAATGAGCCAAATAGGATTTTCTTGTGTTAGGATGTTGGATTAATACTTGACCTCTCAATAAATGTTGTGGCTCCTTGATGGCCCCAAACTCGTAAAAATCTTAGATCCACCACTGCATCACTTATTTTATTATGTTTATCTTTCCTTACATTTTGTTTTAAAACTCCTCAATCCATTAATCCAAATGTCCAGTACAGCAGTTTCTTCTCTACTAGTCTGAGTTCTCAGTAATCCCAGTTTAAACACACAGATTAGAGGCTAATGATTCAGGTTTTTCTGCAGCTGTTTGAGGGAATCAAATTGAACCTCCAGCTGGGAACTCAAACTTCTCACTCTTCTCTTTTAGCTGCAGCCTGTAAAAACAACATGAAAACATGACATTAAAATAATCCCACTATTGTGTTGATCCTACTAAAACCAGGCCTTTGGGGCACATTTAAACTAGTTAATCTGTCTAAAATAACTCAGACTTAAAATGCCAAAAGTCTACCAGAAAGAATCAGAAATATATGAACAAGTCTAATCAAAAGGTTCCTTCACGTTCTGATGTCTGGCCATCAGAGCTTTCAGCTCCTGGCTCCAGCCCAGGGCGTCGACGAGGGCCTGCACGCCGCTGACCACGTCGCCCAGCTGCACCACGTCGTGAGGCCGGCGACTCCAGGCGAAGGGCCCCACCAGGTCTCTGTTGATGAGCAGACGGGGCACAGAGCTCCGGACAGCTCCAGCCAGGCTGGCAAACGGCTCCACCTGCAGGACAAACAGCCAACCAACACGCAAACATGTTTGTGATGAACAGTAAAACCACGAAGAAGCCTCAAATGTAAATACAAATAAGGCACTTCACTCTTATAGTTTCTTTCCAAAAAGCCAGACGTTGTAAATGTCAGTAATCCTGACCAACAATTCTACAGACCTCCCAAAGATCTTTAAAAGATTGTTGTTGGATTCTGGCTTTTTAAAGTATTAATTAGTCTTTTTACCTCACCATTATGAAATCTAGATTTTCTGCATTCTGATCTTTGAGCCGTCACTCCTCAAACATGATGCGAACTGCGGAAAGAAACTTTCCCCAGAGCTCACTGACCTCGAGAGAAGTACCCATGATGATCAGGAGGTCTGCAAGCGGGAAGTCTGTCATGTACTTGAAGAAATGTCGTGGAAGCTCCTCCCCAAAAAACACAATGTCAGGCTTGACCACGCCCTTACAGGCGGGACACTTGGGGACCATCCCACGAATCACAGCTGGCTATTAAAACACAAAATTAACTATTAACAGTTTTGATTGTGATTGGAAAAGTAGAACCTATCAAACCTTCTAAAATCTGTCCAAAATGACACATCTGGAATTTCCCATCCCACTAAAGACCGTGTCTGTCCACCTGGAGCTGTGAAGACTCTGTTTGCTCCACTCTGATCATCACTGAGATGATAAAAATTAGCTCTCAATCCACTCACCTGGTTAAATAAAGGTCAAATAAATAAAAATAAAATGTAACCAAAGACGTTTCCCTGAAAAGTACCAGGGGCCTCATTTATCGAGCTGGCTTACACACATGTTGGACATGGAGAGCACCTGCAGTGCTGCTGCTGAGAAGGATACAATTATGAAATCCTGCAGAATTATCACTTGTACTTGCACACACACTCACACACACACACAGCCTGAAGCGCAGAATAATGCAGAATATCAGCAGGGGGACAGATTGAGACAGAATGTCACGCGTCTGTGACAATGCGCGTGTCCTTTCACTGTGACCCGATTGATCATGTGCCCTGGCTACATGGGCAAGGGAGATCTCTGTTTGGCTGACTGGTAAGCGTGCGTGACTTTCACCCAGGAGTCTGGGGATTGAATCCTGATCAGATCATTTTTTATATCCGCCACAGATCTCTCTGAAGAACTCAGCATTGACGGCTTCAGCAACGCTGTGCCACTCCGTGGATTTTCTCTTATTTGTTTTGCAAAAGCACTTCCTTTCATTTCTCCACCTCACCCACAGGTACCTCAATTTCTGCTTGTGAAATAGCGCTTCCTTGATCCACGGTCATGATCGAACTGCTGAAACAAGCCGGCTTATGTATATGCATGAGATCCACAAGGCACTTTGCATTGACCATTTTTGGCAGTAAGTGGGTGTGGTGAGGGCGGGGTGTGACTAAAAAGCAGCTGAGAACCTTTCTAGATAGTTTCTGATTTATGAAGCGGAGATTGCATGCAGCTGTGCGTACTCCATGCTTGATAGATCACAAACCTACTTGGCATATGTACATTTTTTTTAACTGCGCTTAAGTACGGTTTTAGTAAGGATTCTACGCAATGTTTGATAAATGAGACCCCAGATCACCTTGGCCCGAAAGGTCTCCCTTTGAGGATTTATAAAGGAGCGCAGCTGTGCGCCGGTGTATCCGGCACCAGTTTTCATTTCGGAGAGTTTCAACCCATCATCAAGAGGAACGATCACAAAAACACTTCAGTTTGGACAAATACTCAGAAGAGTGGAAAGCTTCACCTCTGCGGTGGAACCACACACATGTAGAATCTCACTGTGACTCACTCTCAGGTCCTCACTGTCATATTTCTGCCAACAGGTGGTGCAGGTGGCGGTGGCGAACGTCCCATGGGCCTCCACCAGCCTCTCTGGAGGAATTCCTGCCACTTCCCCACAAACAGAAACACAACACATCAAACATGACGGCTCTGAGCGACAACACTAGCTCTGCAGGATAAACGCGTACGTCTCTCCAGCCCGTCGATGTTCTGCGTGTACATCCGGAGGAGCTGACCCTTCATCTGAAGCAGACGTACAAAGTAGTGAGTCAGGTTGGGCTGGTAGTTTCCTGGATACAGCTCTTTGGCCAGGGCAAAGAAGGGATTTGGGTTTTGGTGGAAAAAATCTATCTCAAAAATAGCCTCAGCATATGGCAGGTCGTACTGCTGCAGGTTGTCATAGAGACCGCTGCCAGGTGACCTGCAAGCACAGAAATGGCTCCTTATTAATAGAGAAAAAACACCATGAGAGGAAGGTCACATGCAGGGTTTTGGACCTGAAATCTGGGATTCCACTGGGAGTGCTGATCCCAGCTCCGGCCATCACCACCACCCTGTTGTACTTCAGCTCTCGGATGTCCTTGGCGATGTCCTCCAGCATCCATGGCTTGACAGGCTCACCTCCACCTCGAGAGAAAAGTGCTCTTCTCCCATCCCATCGAAAACAGAGTTTCTGTCTGAGAAGCACATTTATGTCTGAAATGAGAAGAAACTCTACTGAGTTACTAATAAACAGCATGTAAAGGTTACCCTGAACCCCAAAGGGATAAAAAAAAGATCCCACAAAAGCATCACTGATCCCACATTCACATATTTAACACAGCGCTTTAAAACCACTGAAAGCTGCTTTTCTTTATTTACAAATGCTAAACACATCTACAAAAAGCTGTAAGTAAGCAATGTGAAAGAAAACTGAATAGCAAATTTATTTATGACTAATTTGGGACATTTTAAAAATAAATGTTGTGCTTAATATTGATCTTTGATCTCCTACAGAAAAGGTTTTGGCAAATTAGTCTTCATCAGTCAAATCTTTGTATCAAATTTAGAGATCTTAAAGTTCCTGACTGTTAAAAACTCAAAACAAAATGTTTCAACGGTTTTAAATGAATGACAAAGGTGTTTTTATCCTTTAGTTCCAGCAAACAGAAGATACCTGGTAAACGGTCCAATAAAAGATTCAAACTGAGATGAGATCCTCCGTCACCAACATCTCACTCCACGGAAACGACATCAAACTAAACCCGATCATTTGCTAAAATGTTTAGAAGCTGTGTTAAGGTCAGACTTGCATTTACATGACAGCTCGATTAGTGGCTGTATCATTTATTCAGGTCAGATCTTTCTTTTCTTAATAAGATTTACAAGAACTGCCAATATTTCATAGCATGGCAAGGCGATCCCGTTTGCCTTTACAATAACAGAATCCTTCTTTAGTGTTATTCTCACAATAATGCCTAAAACCTGAGAAAATAAACCAATAACATCCCAATTTAGCCATCTTACTAATTATGGGAATTTATTTGAGATCAGAGCAGAGCAGGAAAGTAGAACATTTCCTATATTTTACTTAAATTATTTCTTGTTTGTTTGAAATACAGAATGATAAGTGGAATAAATCCACCGTTGTTTCTTTGCTCTTGTAATGTATACAGCTAGTAAGTCTGATAGGTAAAGTATACCTGGACTGAGCAGCTACACGTCCAGCAGAAAACAAGCTCCTTGGACCTAAAAAACAAAACTTTATTTATTAATCATAAACCTGATTATTTGTTCAGATATGTGTCTAACTAACCCTTTTCCAAGCTAGTCCTGACTAATCTTGAAAACAACAAGCTGCGCTGCAAACAACAACGTCTGACAGGCGACGGTAACGACGAGTTCAAGGGAAAAGCCATAATTCAGCTTGCTGCAAGAGTCCCGCCGCGCGACGTAACACCTGGTTTACAGTTTACAGAACCCACACGGGCTGGCAGCGTAAAGAAATCCTGACACACACCGAAACAGACCATCCGCCTGCTAAACTGTACTTACGGAATCACCGCAACGTGGATTCTCGAAAACGTAATACGCTAACGTATTGAGACGTTTAGGGTACCTCGGAAAAAGATTTTGAAAGTCACAATTATCTCCAAGAGTTTCGGTTTGTAAAGAATTTTTAAATTCCAAATTGGTGAAAGTGATTGTACCTTTTCTACTAACAATACAGAAACTGAAGAGCATCTTTTTTTCACATTTAAATTTACAAAAATATACTGGGACAGTTTTTGTCTATGGGCTGAAAATTATTTGGGAATAATTTTATCTCATACAGTTGTTAAAATTTGAACAATTTTGGAGAACAACGAAAAACAAATCACAGTAAATTATTTTATAATTTTAGCAAAATTCTTTGTACACAAATGTAAATTTGTTAATACTAAACCTGCCTTTGTTGTTTTTCTGAGGGATCTGAAGGACTCTTTAAGTTTGCAGCTCCAAGAGCACAGTTATATTATATTATAACAGGTTTGTCTTTCCCCTTACATCTTGTAATATTTTGTTCAACTATTACGATTGTCGCGAATGTTATACGTTCTTACCTTTTCTTTTTTTCTTAATTTTCATGGTCAGAAGGCATTTGTGTGTTTGAAGAATTTAAGCCTGTAAGCTACGTAGATAATGAACAAATATTTTCTTTTACCATTTGTTTCGGGAAAGTTGACATACATGACATTATTTGCGAATAATAAATTGTTGTCAACAGTGTTGAAGTTTACTAAAGAAAAAACTTTTTAAAAATTTCAATATTAAAACGTATATAACATAACTTTAGCCACCTAGGAATTTTAACAACTGTCATTACTTTATTCATAACATTTTATTAAAAATGTAAATTTTTGCAGCCAATAAAATGAAACTTCTAAAGACGTCCCGCTTAAAGAAAAAATAATTAATTAACTCCTCCCTCATATCCCATCATCCCCTGCGGCTTTGCAGTTGCGCAGAACTTCAACGCGTAAAGGAAGTCACACGTTAGCTAGAAATTGAACAACAGTTATCGGACCTCAGTTCAAAAGATTACTCTCCACTGTGTTGCTATCATGAAAGATGTTAACGGGTACCTCAAACAGCAGCAGAGCAACAGCTCCACGCCAGAGACGGCAGCTAAGTGGCACGCTCTGGAAGATTTATACAACAAAAGGCAAGAAAGTCCGATAGCGTTTAGCTTCCATTAGCTGTCTCATTCATTTTAAACGGACGCTGAGTCATGCACAAAGCTAATGTTAGCTGGTATTTATGCTTATTAGGTTAATCTGTGGGTTAGATATCAACAATAGTCAGGTACAATCTTATGTTTCTTTCAGCTCTGAGTTAAGCTAATATGTCTGTTTGTGGAAGACGCGCTGTGTATGCTAACTGTCCATCCTTTGCAGATTAAACGAGTCATATTGAAGTAATCGGAAGGTTTGTGACACTGCTGTTATTGCTTACAGATTGTGGCATCAGCTGACCCTCAAGCTGACAGACTTTGTTAAAGATCCTTGCTTCAAAACAGGAGATGGCCTCATCCAGGTATTTGTCATGTTACCTGCACTGGAAATCTCTAAAATATAGAAACTTTTTTGTTTACATCTACTGAGAGGGGAGAAGTAAACGAATGGGGGAAAGGTATGACTATAAAGTGATTTAATGAAAACAAATCATTTACTGGAATAAAACTAAATTAACTGATTTTTGTTAAAAGGAAAAGAGATGATTAGTTGAAGAAGAAGAAAATATCATTTCTATAATGCCTCTCAAGATAAAAATCACGAGGCGCTTCACAAAAACAAAAAATGTAAAAATATAAAAAACAATTTAGAAAATGGTTACAAATATATTTAAATGAGCAAAAAATTGACAATTGTGATTTAAAAAAATGTTAAAAGAGAGAGTGAATGGGAAAGAGGGATATAGTGGATCCTGAGGAAGGTGGAATAGGTGGGGAGAGCAGAATAAGGAGAGCGTGGTGAAGAAGGTCATACAAAAGCCTCTTTGAACAAGTGAGTCTTCAGCTGCTTTTTAAAGGACTCCACTGAGTCCACTGATCTCAGGCTCAGGGGGAGAGAGTTCCAGAGTCTGGGGGCCACAGCAGCAAATGATCTGTCACCTTTGGTCTTTAGCCTGGTGTGCTGCACAACCAGTAGGCTTTGATCACTGGACCTCAGGGATCTGCTGGGGGTGTAGGGACTAAGAAGATCACCAATGTAAGATGGTGCTTGTCCATGTAAGGCCCTATAGACCAGAACCAGGATCTTGAAATGAACCCTGAAGTTGACTGGCAGCCAATGAAGCTGGAGGAGAAGCAGGGTGATGTGGGTGTGTTTGGAGGACTTGGTCAGAAGCCGAGCACAGGCGTTCTGAACCACCTGCAGACGGTTCAGGGAGGTTCTGCTCAGACACGTGAAAAGAGAGTTACAGTAGTCTAAGCGTGAGGAGATGAAGGTGTGGATAACTGTCTCAAGTTCAGAGCAGGACAGAATGGGACTCAGCTTAGCAATGTTCCTGAGATGGAAGAAGGAAGAGCGAACAAGAGAACTGACATGAGAATCCAGGGTGAGAGCTGGGTCAAAGGTCACACCAAGATTCCTGATGGAAGGTTTGGTGTGAGAAGCAAGCTGACCAAGAGAGTCTGAGTTTGGGAACCAGCTTGTCTGGGGCACAGATGAGGATCTCAGTCTTATCTTCATTCAGCTGAAGAAAGCTCCCAGCCATCCAGGTTTTGATAGAGTCTAAGCAGGTGTGTAACAGCTGCAGCTTAGACATCTCATGGGGCTTAAAGGAGAATGTACAGTTGGATGTCATCTGCATAAAGATGGTAGGAGACTCCTTTGAAGGAGCTCAGGGTGTGCTGAAGAGGAAGCAGATAGAGGAGGAAGAGCAGAGGCCCCAGCACAGAACCTTGTGGGACACCATGGGTAAGAGAGGTGGTGGAGGACCTAAACTTGGAGACGGCCACAGAAAAGGAGCGCTCAGAAAGATAAGAGGAGAACCACTCCAGAGCAGTTCCTGATAGGCCTACCCAGTCTCTCAGCCTCTCCAGTATCAGGTGATGGTCAACAGTGTCAAAGGCTGCAGTCAGGTCCAGCAGGACCAGAACAGAACAGTCCCCTGAAACACTGTGAGTCAGAAGGTCATTAGAGACCCTAAGAAGAGCTGTTTCGGTAGAATGAGCTCTACGAAAACCTGACTGTAAGCAATCATAGATGTTATGTTCATCAAGAGCAGCTGTGAGTTGTTTAGCCACAACCTTTTCCAAGATCTTGGAGACGAACGGAAGTTTAGAGATGGGTCTGAAGCTGCTATGGAGAGAAGGGTCGAGACTCGGATTTTTAAGAAGCGAGTGGATTACAGCATTCTTAAAGAAAGCAGGGACCTGACCAAAAACCAGAGAAGCATTAATTATAGAAAGCACGCTGGGACCGATGGACTGAAAAGCATTTTTAAACAAAGATGAGGGTAAGATGTCGAGGGGGAATGCAGAGGTCTTCATAGAGTTAACTAGTTTGGTTAGCTCAGGCAAAGAAACAGGAGCAAAGCTATCTAGGATGATGGGCCTGGTTGGAGTCGGGAGAGGCAGCGATAAGGCTGAAGGAGAGATGCTAGAACTAACCTTATTGACTTTGTCCACAAAGAAAGACAGAAAGTTCTCACAGTCTGTAACAGAGTGGATGGAGGCTGTAGGAGAGGCAGGAGAGACGATGCTGCTGATGGTGTTAAACAGCACCTTGGGGTTCCCTTTGCTCTGGGACACCAGGTTAGAAAAATAGGAAACCCTAGCGTCTCTGACTGCAGAGTTAAAGGATGACAGAAGATCCTTTAGGTGCAGCAGATGGACGTGGAGATGGGTTTTCTTCCACAAACGCTCAATTTTTCTGCATTGGCGCTTCAGGCTGCGAAGGCTGTCATTAAACCAGGGAGTAGGGTTCACTGCAGGAACTGATCTGGTTCTGACAGGACAGATGTTGTTCAGAATGGAGAGGCAGTGCTCGTTAAACTGAGAAGTTAAGGAATCTGGGTCATTATCAGAAGAACAGGGTGGATAAAAAGCAGCAGAAGAATTGCTAGCTGTGCTCTCATTAAGAAAACGAAAAATAACCATACGGCGAGCAGGAGGTGGGGACGCAGAAACTGGCGAGTTAAAGAAAATGCAATGGTGATCTGAAATATAAACGTCCTCAGGACAAACACTGTCAGCATTTAGACTCAGGGTAAAATCAAGGTCTAGAGTGTGCCCCCTGGTGTGTGTGGGGCCAGAAACATGCTGGGTAAAGCTGAAGGAGTTCATAAGGCTGGAGAAATTCATGGCAAAGTGATCAGAGGGATCATCAACGTGGATGTTAAAGTCACCCACAATCACCAGTCTGGACAGCTTCACAGTGGAGGATAGAAAGTCACTAAACTCCTGAAGGAAAGAACTGTTTGGACCAGGTGGACGATAGACCACAGCACAGTAGAACGGGTCCTTACGCCCGACTTTAATCAGCTGCAGTTCAAAGGAAGCAAAGGGACCAGAGGTTGTAGAGCTACATGGATGATGGTCTCTGAAAACAACAGCTAGGCCTCCACCACGACCAGAACCCCGGGGCTGGCTAAGAAAAGAACAACCACTCGGGCAGAGTTCAATCAGAGCAGAATAATCAGATGTTTGCTGCCAAACTTCAGTCAGAAACAGAAAATCCAGGTTTTTAGAGAGAATTAAATCATTGAGCAGGAAGGACTTATTGTTAACAGAGCGGGTATTTAATAGAGCCATGCTGAGAGGTGGAGGAATCAGAAACTACAGAAACAGCTGGAGTTAGTGGATGTAAATTAGCAGGTTAGATCCACGGTGTTTATAAAAACCACTTATGGAGGGGAGAAACCACTGAAGAGTGAGGATAAACAGACCTTAAAAAACTTGGACGGAGAAACCGCGCCGCAACGCGGCCTGGCTGGAATGCGGAAGTGGCGCTCAAGTCGCCAAACAGAGGACAAGAAGCTAGAAGATCATGCCGATGTTTACTAGATAAACCACGCTTTAAGAGAAGTCTTATTCTCACCTGGATTCCTGCTCGTTTACCTCTTTTCCTCCGACGTTTTCCTGGGACCAGCTAAACATCCCTGGAGGCGTCCTGGTTGGAATCGTCGTTTAGCTCCGGGCCAGTGCGCCACTCAGATAAACTAACAGGGAGATACGTCCTCGGTGCATCTTGGGCGATCATGAACGAACGGAAGGACTAAAGAGTCTGGCGATCATAGGAGATGGTAGCAGGGAATTATGACACGTTTCACCTTTATGTTCATATTGTTTTATTTGATGCACTCCACTTTGAACTGCACTAATCCAGCAACTGCTGCATTTTAATAACTAGTATTAAAGGTGAGTACACCAATATCTGCACAAGAATAATTTTTGTTTTAAACTCTAGTGACACACTTTGCAGGGGGGATTTGGCATTTAATTGTTCTTGGCGTCTGGAAAAACATCTCCTTTTGCCCTCCTTTATTTGACTTTCTGCCCCTTTTATTTTGGTCCAAGATCATTACTGGGCTGACTCTATTAAAAACCTTCTACACCCCTGCTTAGTAGACTTAATGAAGTATTTTTAAGCCAGTATAAAAATGACTGAAACACAAATTTACATATTTGCCATTATTGACCAATATCTTTTATTTAATTTATTTGTTAAGAACATCAAGATGCATTACAGTGAACATTATAATAAAGTACATTTTTCTAGTGCAGAGGGGAGCCAACCCATAGAAGCACTGATTTGATCTCATTTCAGAGAAAAATAGAACAGGTCAGATGCACCTAATGAATAAAATTACTAACAAACTCAGGAATCTGTTTCTTTGCTTCATTGTTCTGGTGCTGAAAATATCACTAATGCGGATCAAAGGAGATACACGGATGAATGCACCTCTTATTTATTATTTGGAAATTATTGGGCGTGGTTTACATCAATATATTAAATCTGAAATTGATATGGATTGATCAGAAGTTGCTATGTGTATTGTTTATTTTAAAACTATTTACAGAGCAGCCTCAGAATTGAGATTAAATATTTTTATCACAATAGTAAAGAAACTATTACAGAACAAGTTTTTCAATAAAATCAGAACATTAATATTTAAGTGCATGGATTAATACATCTGAACTCATGCAGTAGGAAATATGAAATACTAGAACCATTTTATTTTAATTTGATTAAACTGATTTTTTCCTACCGTTGGCATTTTCCCCACACACAATTAAACAAAACAATGTTGATTAAGTGTGTGTGTGTGCGTGCATGCGAGCGAGTGTTAAAATAATTTTAAAAAACCCGACCGGAGCGGTGGCAGTGACTGACCCATGCACGAGCCATTTTCAACTCTGTCTTGTCAAATGCACCACGTACGTTACGGAAAAAGTAACTTTAAATATTCAACCGAAAAAGAGGCGAGCTGAAGAAAGCCTAGGCAGTACTGAAGAAACGTGAGCAACAGTGATGCAAGCACAGAGAGATCCGTTACTGTCTGTGTGTGTGCGTGGATGCATGGGCCGAACTGAGCTTCCGGCTGCAGAGTTTTGTGTGTAGGGAGGGGCGGGCGCTCTATGTGACGGGCCAATCACAGAGCGTGAAGGCAGTCAGTTACCCAATGAGGATTTTTCTTCAGCACGATTACAGATATTTACGAGTTTTACTCGTTTCATGCTCGTATTCGTCAAAAATGCTTTATCCGTACCGGATGCTCGTCTGGAACGAGTATCCGGTGTCGGTACAGGATCTGCTCGGCTGCAGGATCGGCTCGGCGTCCTTCGACTGCCGATGATGTCAAAGTAGTTGATTGGCTGAACATGAAGCTTACGGAAGTTACGTTATCACGTTATGATTTTGATTGGTCAGAACAAATTTGTGGTCGTAGTCTTAGCGGTTGTAGTCCTGTAGTTTAAAAATCAACACTTTTTGGAGAAAATATGTTTGAATTTCTAAAAAAATGTAAATATAAGCAAATGATAAACGGTGACCCTCTAAAGCTCTTGATGTTGATGAAATGGGGCAAAATAAAATGTAAGAACTTTATTGAAAGACACCAAGCAATATTTTGAGTCAAAGAATGTATTTAGGTAACAACTAAGGAAATATACAGATGGACTCCACATTAATACAAACAGATGTGGCTTCACATATAAGAACTGTTCTATTTTTTGTCAGTCCGATGTTTGTTTTATGCAGTTTCACATTCTTTACAAAACAAAGATTATATGGTGTTTTATTAACAAATTACAATTATAAAGAAAACGTTTAGGTGTTAACAAACAAGAATTTATTAACAAAACTGCTGATGTCTTTCCAAAACGTGTGTGTGAAAGCCAAGTAGATTTGCAGTCATGTGACGTCATCGGCAGTCAAAGGACCCCGAGCCGATCCTGCACCGACACCAGCTCATCCCTAGCTGCAACCACCCTGCCCTGCCTCCTCCTCCTTGCTGCCTGCCGGCTGTGATGACAAGCAACAACAGAGTATTTCCCGCTGCTTCTTCGGGAAACAGCGCAAAAAAAATAAAATAAACAATTCTATAAAACGGGATCTTGTAGGCGTGGCGCTAGGATTTCCGCCACGGCTACGCCTATTTAAGGGAAACACTGTAGTTACTTTTAGAATGTTGTTAGTTTTGCACTAATCCAAAGATAAATTGTTAGTGGTAAATAAATAATTTAGAGCAGGTTTTTGTATAAAGAGCAAATTCTGGAGATCACAGAGGAAACTGGATCTGAAACATGTCTTCCTACCAACTACATTGACAGTTTGAGGGGTAAAACGGTGGGATTGTCTGGATGATGAATTGAACAATGCGTAATAATCAGTTTAGGAAACTTCATAAGAAAAAACTAGATAGTTTGAACCAATAGAAATTCTGTCTATTTTTCACCTTGTCCACTATTCACTCATGAATTGTGTTAATAAAACAGCGGGAAATTATTCTAACATTTCTGATTTCTTCTTGCAGCTTTATGAAAACTTCATCAGTGACTTTGAACACCGGTGAGTTAAGAGTGACTCAGCGTTGCTGTGTTCCTCTGCTCTGGTATTTCTCTGTTCATATTTATAGTTTTCACCCCAAACAGAATCAATCCATTGTCGCTGGTTGAGATTATTCTGTACGTTGCCCGCCAGATGTCCGGTGAGGACAAAAGGGAACATTTTCTCACAACGTTTTTCTTTTATAAGCGTTAAATAAAGTGTTTGCCTTTTAGATCCAAAAGATGCCATCCCTTTTCTTGAGAAAACCAAAGAAAAGGTCAGTTCATCAGTTTGAATGTGTCGTTTCCTTAAATTGAAATGTGATCTAACCGGTTTTTGATCATGCGGACCATACGCCTGTGATGCAGGTAAAAAGCAGCGAGGAAGCCGTCATTCTCTGCAAGACATCCATCGGCAGACTGAAGTTGGAAATCAACGATCTTCCTGCCACGAAGGTGAAGCTTCTTGCTGACACAGAAATCAACTCGCAATTTTTTCACATTAAACTCACTGTGGCACATTTCAAGCTGCTTGTTCACATGTGGGGTGTGTTGGGGGGGAGTGAGAAAAACCTGAGTGCAGTTAAACACCGCCATGACAACCATTCGTGATCCCCCGTCTTCCTGAAATAACCTGTAGGTGATAGATTCATTAATGCAGCGCAGAAAGACTCGCGCACACCTGAGATTTTAATCGGCAGCATTCAGATTTCACAATGGCTGAGGGCCTAAACTTAGATTGTAGGTGAAGCCACTGATGCAGAAACGTCCTCATTCAATTTCTTTATATTTTACATCCAAGGAGCCAAACTGGAGCTAGCCCAGGTTTAACCTGCTTCTCTCCTGATTTGCTAACATGACCATCACAAGTTTGTATGTAAGAGGAGGAAATCAAGAACAAACTGAGATTAAAAGATGAAGCTGGTGGATTTGGATTCTGTTTGGCATCGAAGGATAAACGTTTTCGTTTCCTCATCTGTAGAAAATCATTGAAGAGGTGGAGGAGATGTTGAATAACTTGCCAGGAGTGACTTCAATCCATGGTCGATTTTATGACCTCTCAAGTAAATACTACCGCATCGTCGGGAACCACGCCTCCTACTACAAGGATGCTCTGCGCTACCTGGGGTGTGTGGACATCAAAGACCTTCCAGGTGAGAGGCAGCATGATGAAATGCTGTTTATTGATCACATCAGAGAACATGAACTGTTGTTTTGAACTCCACAGAAACGGAGAAGCAGGAGAGGGCCTTCACACTCGGATTGGCTGGCCTCTTAGGAGAAGGAGTTTATAACTTTGGAGAGCTGGTGGGGTTTAGTTTTATTTTTTATCCATTAAAATCGATCAGATTTGTTGTAGTAAGGAGCACATCTGCTGTTTGTCTCTGCAGCTGATGCATCCTGTGCTGGAGTCCTTGAGGAACACAGACAAACAGTGGCTTATAGATACATTATACGCATTCAATGCAGGAAATGTGGAGAAGTTCCAGGGCTTCAAGTCTGCCTGGGGTCAGCAGGTGAGCAGTGCAAAAACCTTCAGAGGTCAAAAAAAGTCTTTGAAAGAGATCCAGAAAAATTCTGGAGAAATGTTCATCATAATCTCTTAAAACTGAGAAGAAACTCTAACCCGACTCAGTTTGAATCATTCTTGTTGTTTATTACAGCCCGACCTGGCAGCACATGAAGCCAAACTGATGCAGAAAATCCAGCTGCTCTGTGTGATGGAGGTGAGTTGGCGCTTCGTTTCAGTTAAACCTCCAGTCGGGAAAAGATGGAGATCTGAGCCAGAGGGTCAGATCACACAGGAAGTTTGGCTTGTTTTATTAAAATGGTGGGGGCTTTTTTCCAGATGACCTTCACTCGTCCTGCCAATCACAGACAGCTTACCTTCACTGAGATCGCCCAAAGCGCCAAAATCCCTGTTAATGAGGTTTGTCACTAAAACTGACCGATCACCACGGAGATGTTGATTAGAACTTCTATCTGATTGGTCTAAATGTTTGTTTCCTGCAGGTGGAGCTGCTGGTGATGAAGGCGCTGTCCGTGGGTCTGATCAAAGGGAACATCGATGAGGTGGATCAGAAGGTGCAGATGACCTGGGTGCAGCCCAGAGTGCTCGACCTGCATCAGGTTGGTTCTCGTCATTTAGTTCATTAACATCATCTGTTTGGTTTTTTGCTGTACAACAATAATTAGGGTTGTTAAGGCTGTGGTGCTGGTTTAACTGTTTCTGCTGCCGCTCGTTTCAGATTAAAGGCATGAAGGAGCGTCTGGACTCATGGTGCGGTGACGTTAAAAACATGACTGTGCTGGTAGAGCACCAGGCCCACGACATCCTGACCTAACTCATCCTCACCAACCACTCACATTTCTCCTTAACTTTTTTTTTTTTTACTGGATGTTTTTTTCTGTTTATCATCTGTCCACGACATCGTTTTCTTTTACAATTGATCAGTTGTAATAACAATATCCTCACACATTGGACTGGATTCTGTATAATATCAAATAAAATCTCTTCAAAAAGGACGTTTGTTGTCAACGTCATGCGTTCGTTTTAACTTGTTCTTTCGTGTTAACTCTTCCATCAGAACTAGCAACATTCTGATGATCCTCGGGTTTATCACAGAGAGCAGTAGTTCAGAGCTGATGGTGAACGAGGATTCCTATTTAGTTTTGGTTTACTGACTGGAACCAAAGTTTCAAAGTAACACAAGAGTTTTTGTGGCACTCGTTTCCAAATAAAGACACTAAAACATACATTTTCATTTTTGTAAGTACTGATCACTCTTGACATGATTTGTAAATGTCACTATGGGATGATTTTATGGGTCAGTGACTGGATGAAATCTGCGGTTTCCCTGTATGGGAAAGTTTCAACGAGCTGGTATAATGACTCAATCTGGAATGGGCCTTGAGACGACTTGTCATGGTTTGTTTATAAAGTGAATATATATATATATTCTGAGGTATCTGTGAATATTTTATAGATTGAGCATGAACATGGGGAGAAGAGGATGTTTGGTTACTGTGGCGGTGCGCAGAAGGAGGGGCTGCCACAATTACCCTATTTTAAGCTATTGCTTTCAAACTGGTTCTGGTATGGAAGAATTAAAACGCCACAAATTGAATTTCCAATTTGAGAGCAGAATTTCATATCAAGAGACCAACTTTTTAATTTGAGAATAAGATTTTATATTATTGCTCTCAAAATGTCTGCTCTTTCAAATACACTCTGTTCTCCTTCACATCTTTGTTTCTGCGCTCAGATTTGAACCTTATACTGGTTTTGTCTTACGTGAAAACTTTTTTTTTTTTTTTTTGCACGGATCAAAACTGCTCCCACAAGTCTGTTCCCCACTCTCACGGATTTTTTCTGCTCTCTCTCAAAACTTGGAAATATCCTAGCAACCACTCAGCCAACAGGAGATCTGTATGGAACTGGGCGGTGAAAAACACTTGGTGTGCGCTCAGGGCCAGATTAACACTTTGTTGTACCCTGGGCAACAATATTCAAGGGCCCCATCATCACGACCCAAGGATCACCATAATATGGTCACATACAGAATATTTTACTGTAATATGCAGTAAATATACTCAATACTTGAATGCCTGACTTCACGTAACCCGCTCAGGGTAACCTTTGACCCACCTTGTGTGGACTGACCAATGAGAGGGTCTTAACTTGAGGCCCTAACTTCATTGGTCAGTCTGAAAGAGACTGACTCTAAACTGACGTTCAAAGTCATAGGCAGCAAAGCGTCTCATTGCAGCACAAAAGCCCGGGTGGACAGTTTGTTTAATATAGGGTGATCATATTTACATTTCCAAAAAAGGACAGGGGTTCTGTGCCTATGACGTCACACTATGGCAACGCCACACAAACCATGTTGGGTCAGTTTTGCCTTGGCCCACAAAATGCCTTGAAATGGCCCTGGGTGTGTGACTGAGTTTTGAAGGTGAACGAACGGAACTCGAAGAGCCTTGAGGACACCAAGACAAAGTAAGGAACTTTCAAAGTCTTTATTAACCAGGAGCTAAGACGTGGCGTTACCCGAAAAGGGCGAGGCTGGAGACAGAGTCTGTGAACAAGCGAGGGTCGTGGAGGCAGGCAGAGTTCTTGGAAAGGGTCAGGCATGGAGACAAGGTCAGGAGGCTATGATCAGGCAGGATGAAAAAAGGCTGGAAGATTTACTGGCGTGAGCGTTCAATAATCTGGCACTGAATGGTTGGATGGCTGGTTCTTAAGTAGCAGGGGAAGCAGGTGTGTGTGATGAGCTGAGGAGTCAGGAGCAGATGAAGTGGATGAAGCTGATGAGATGCAGGCTGGGGTTGCTGTGGAAACTGGGTTTGGCTGGGGCTTGATGAGAGGACCAGGTGTGAAGCATGAAGGCTGATGAGATGAACAATGGTGCATGGAGGGCAGTGCATGGCAGGATCATGACAGAATTGTATCAAATGAATAAATATGACATGTGAATAACTTGTTTTATACAGGTAAAAACACATAGTGGAGCTAAATCTACCTACACTTTGTTTTGTTTTCTTGTTTTAATTAAACTATTTTCCTGTCCTGTCTGTCTCTCATCTTCCTGCATCTCCTCTAAACTCTCCAGAAACACTGCTTTTTCACCTCATCAATTACTTTTGAGCAGATCAAAGTGATCTCCTGACCGCAAAGCGGAGAGCGCGTTTCGATGCTGCGTCATGGTGTCTGAGCAGAGTGTACGTACGCGGTTGTAGTTGGGGACCCAGCCTGGTTGCTGCTGCTCGTGGAGCCTCTGTTCCTTGTGAGCCTGGTCGAAGTAGACGTTCCTCTGCTCAGGAGACATTTCCCTCCACTGTGAACAGAAGACAGTGAGACAAGCTGTTGGTGAACAATAATCCAAGGAAGCAAAACCATCATCATTCTGTAGCAAACACACTTACCCTCTGGCCCATGACGGCGTTGACAGCAGCGCTGTCTGTCAGATGCAGCTCAGCCACCACCTTTGGCCTCTGGTCCTGCAGGAAGATCATGAAGGCATTTGGTGGCTTCTTCACATAGGGATGGTCCTTCTGCTGGTGCTCACGCTTTCTCTTGCTGCAGAGAAAAAACACAACACAAACCTGTCAGCATCCACATCCTGGAAATGTGGTAAACTTTATAGATATTTTATTCTGAAACGGTCAATCCAAAACTTACTTTGGGTTGGAGACTGGAGCAGAAGCGGGAGCAGCAGGTGGAGTGCCAGGAAGAAGGGATGGTGGCAGAGAAGGGACAGTGGGAGTGTGAGGTGAAGGCAGAGAAGAAACAACAGGTGGGGAGGGTGGGAGGTAAAGAAAAGCAGTAGGAGAAAGTGGAGGGGCTAAAAAAGGAGATGGAGGAGGAGAAAAAGAATGGAGGAAAGGTGAGGGAGGACGTCCAAGAGGAGAAGGTGGAGGAAGAAAAGGAATGGGCAGGTGTTCCTGAAAGATCTCATCCAGAATGGGGAAGAACTCCGTCTCTCCCCCAAAGTCCTCCATGTACCTGTCAAAGCTCAGGAGCTGCATGTACTTCCCCATCTTTCTGTGACATAGGATGAGAAGAAGAAGAAGAAGCTTCAAAACCCGTCACAAGACGTCAGGCATCATGGCATCAGAGACATCAAACAGGAAACATCACATCCACTGTTACTGGTAACAAACTGATCTCTGATCAGTTTCTACAGTCAGATCCATGTTTATCACAGCGACTGAGGCAACTGCTGTTACATGTGAACCATTTCATCTCCAACACTCTGTTTGAACACCTGTGTCTGAAGATCATTGTTGTGTTTTTACCTCACTAAGTGAAACGTTTGGATTTCAGTTGTGAATTTAGTTTATTCTTCATGTTTTAAACCGATCCAGTCTCGCTGGAGATACTTTATGCTTTTGTCTCAGCAGGTTTCAGATCTGTGAAGAGAAACTTTCAGTTGTGTTGTTTGCATCAGGCTATGCTTCGTTTTCTTATCCGGCTAGTTCAGAAACACACATTTAGGATCAAACGGAGACCGAAACAAAAAGGATTTCTGTTCACATCCTTCTGCTCAGTTTTAGGTCGGATGTGAACGAAACTGCAAGCTGAGAGTCAGCATCACTACAGCGACTAGAAGCCACTGCGTGTAGATCTAGATTATAAAAGCACAGCTGGAGAAATCACTTTATTCTACTCTATGTGGTTTATTCAGCAGCCTTTGCTCTTTTAATCAGGAACTCGTTCTACACTAGATCCATTTTTAAATGTAAACAAGTCAAAATAGTTTGTTCACTTAATGTTATTAAAGTTATAACTTATTCTCTGATGAAAAAGTGGCATTTATTCATATTTCTGAGAAACTGGTGCATAAATAAAGATCATTCCCTTCTCCAGACACCACTACTGTACACGGCAGATAGCATGTAGGTCTAGTTATAGAAATGTACGTTTATAACTCATATTTAAGATTCAAATTAGTTTTGTCTTGAATGTTTCTCTGTAATCTGACCTGCTTAAGGGGTTTTTGTTTATTTTGTTTTTTCCAGCAGGTGTATTTTATATAAATGATAAAACCAGTTTACCTTGAGGGATGTTAAAGTCTCCCAGTAAAGCACAGGAAACACTTCAGATAAATCTAAAAGTCTGAACATGTCAGATGTTGGGCTGGGTGGTTTGTGGGTAGTTTTATTACCTGCTGGAGCTGCTCTCTGGAAGACTAAAGTCAGCAAACACAGACACCGCAGAGAAAAGGTCCTACTCTCTCGAGATGGAACTTATACTGAAGTCTGAAAGGTTTTAGCCTTAATATTAAAGCATTTTAAACGATGCACCTGAGCTGTAACTATGGTAACGCAAGATTCCATAGTTTTTGACAGTCTGTCATAGGTGACAGACGGCGCTCCAAAGGGAGCCTAAGTCACGCCCACCTACTTCCGGACCATGGGTCCCCAGCTTCCTGTTGTGACCTGGAGATATCTCAAGACTAGATGGGTCGTATTGGAGCTAATCTACGGGTTCCTAGTCCCTCGGGGTCCATGTCCCTCCCGACCTCAGACAGATTGCGTCGGATGATTTTTATAAACAAATCTGTAGTTTATCAAACAGCCAAATTATTTTACAACCCAGACTCTACAAATTCTCTCAGATCTTAAGAAAGGTTTTCCTAAAACATCCGGCTTCCATTCCAGCATTCCACACATCACATTACATCACTTCATATCCATTACATTGCATCATTTTGTCATATATAATCAATAGTTTAGGGAAAATAAATAAATTCATTTTTATAAACTATATACCTGACTCTGTCTGAATTTATATGAAGTGTGTTTATGGTCCCTGAATAAGTAAAGAACACCAGAATCTTCTCATTAAGTATTCAAAGATCAATCAGAAGATGATATTTCCTATTTATATGGAATTATTACATTTTATTGATCATTTTAATAAATATATAGTGCAAATCATCAACACTATATAAATATAATATTAAATGCACGGTCCTTGACCGGAAACATGACAGGATACCCCAGAACAGCGCTACGCCCTCTGTTGTCCTGGCGGAGAACTGCTTTGCAATACTCCCCAGGAGATGGAGAGGTCTGAAGGCGAAGCGTCTGTCAGTGCGTGCATCTTTCCCTCGTGGAGCTGATGGAGAAGTATAAATTAGGCATCAGTTTGCCTCTGAAGGAGCTGTCCATGGTCTCCACAGTGGATCACAGAGGGTGGGAGGGTTTTTTAAGATAGAGGTTTTAATTACCTGCACCTGCAGGCACTTAGCTATTTAGCTGACACTGGGCTCCATAATTTTGCACATATAAAGAAAAAAACATGGCAAACATATGAGCAACCATATCTTTTTGCTTTGTTTTAGTTTTATATTTTCCATCAATAAGATCAAACCACCCAGAAACAGGATTGGAGAACCTTTCCAAGTGAAGATGAGTGTTAGGATTAAGCTGAACAATTATTTGTTGAGTCAAGTGACAGCCAGAAAAAATAGTAACAACCATTAGCTGAGAAGATCAATGAGTGCACAAAGCTCTAGTTATCAGGGAAAAAGATTGCTGAGTGACCAGATTTCAGTCCTGGATGAGGAGGAAGAGGAGGAGGAGGAGTGTGAGCAGCAGAGACTGAAATGAGGCTGGATAATTAGGAGAAGCAGCCTGTATCCCCAAAGGGAAAGAGCAGCGAGCTCTGTGCATGCAGCTATTTGCAACATCCCTCTGCCTCTATCTCTTTAAGAGCTACAAGGAGTGTGTGTGTGTGTGTGTGTGTGTGTGTGTGTGTGTGTGTGTGTGTGTGTGTGTGTGTGTGTGTGTGTGTGTGTGTGTGTTTGTATGCTTGGTGTGTGTGTGTCTGTGGGGGAGGGGTATTGGCTGGGGTGGAACAGTCCTGTAATGAGCAGATTTTAGAGAGGGAGAGATTGAAAGGCGGAAAAGCGAGAGAGGGCAGATGACTTGGTGGGATTTTACAGCAACAATTCTGATTCAGGTGATCTTTGGGATGGAGAGGACGGAAGGGAAAGGAGAGGAATAATTCCTGCTTCTGCATCCTCATCCTCAGCTGCGCATCTTTAGATCACAGCCGAGCAGGAAGGAGGAAAAGGGAGGAAGAGGGATTCACACTCCGTTATTTCTGCTGAGGTACGTGTGCTAAGCTGTGTTTGTGTGAGGATGGATGAGAGTCTCTGAGCCTGGATTGCTCATTTCCAGACCATGCAGTAGAGAAATATCTCCAACTTCTCTCCTCCTGTTTGTTTCATTTTTAATGGCGTACCAGCACAGCAGCACCCCTGTCCTGTATCCAGCTCAGTGCGGCAGGGATGTGAGGATGCTCTAACGTGTGACTGAGGCGAGCTCATTCGCTGCTGCCGCTCTGTGGGCCTGTAGGACTGTCTGGAAAAGCCTAGGCCTCGCTTGTCTGGAGTGTCCCGCAACTCAGCCTAGGAGCAGGAAGGTGGAGGAGGAAGTTGGGGAGGAGGAGGAGGAGGAGGAGAAGCTCTCTGAGCCTATGTGCCAATGGGAAGCAGCATGCACGGAGGCTGCGTTCATCACTTCAAGCCTTTTGCAGAAGCTTGGGTTGTTCCTCTGTTGCGAGGTAATATTCTTCAGGTTTCAGCTCTCTGATTTTTTAAAGAAAGAGCAGTTATTTTTTTTACATCCTGAACTTAGAGGAGTAGGAGAGGCGAGGCCCTGCACCTCCATGCTACCTGGTCCGGCTGAGGCCTACTCCTTCCTCCTAAGTGAAGCACGCCTGATTTCATTTTTCTGACATTCTAAGGATTTGCCTAAACCTGTTTCATGCATGTCCACTGGAGGCAGGTTTGACTTTGATGATGGGGGGTCGTACTGCGGGGGGTGGGAGCAGGGGAAAGCCCACGGACGAGGGGTCTGCACTGGGCCCCAGGGTCAGGGTGAGTACGCCGGGGCCTGGAGCCACGGCTTCGAGGTTCTGGGTGTGTACACGTGGCCCAGCGGGAACAGCTACCAGGGCACCTGGGCACAGGGTAAGCGGCACGGCATCGGGATTGAGAGCAAGGGCCGCTGGGAGTACAGAGGGGAGTGGACACAGGGCTTCAAGGGCCACTACGGGCAGCTGGAGAGCACAGCCAGCGGGGCCCGGTATGAGGGGACATGGAGCAACGGGCTGCAGGACGGGTACGGCGCTGAAACCTATTCTGATGGAGGTAAGGACACTCATCGGAACCCTTCACAGCTGGGCGTTCACACCCAAACACCAGAAACATCTGTAGTTTTCACAAACTGACTCTCAGGTGGTAAGTGGATCGACTTGCTTACGTAGCTGCTGGAACTTACTGTAACACATCTCCAAAGCAGGCTACATAAATAACATGTAGGTCACAGTCACATGCACAGTTAGATGACCGAGAAGGCATACCAGACCCAGCAACAGGAGCCCAGAAAGCCAAGAGCCCCCAGAGTGCTTGAACAAAAATGTTTGGTTTAGTTCTGCGGACTGCAGTTTTACACAGTTAAATTAGAACAAAACCTGCAGAATGAATAACCCTTGACCCTTTAAAACCCACAAAAAAAAGAAGCCATGAAAAATTTTGTCTTTTGCATTTTTTATTTTTTATTTTTCATTCCTTTGGGGCAACAAGGATTACAATACAGTTAATGGTAATGTTAAAACATTATTAAGGTAAGAACTGTGGAATATAATATTTAACTATTGATTAAAACATCCACTCATTTTTATTCATCCATTCATTTTTTCCACTTATCATGAGTCAGGTTGCAGTAGCCTAAGCAGGGAGGCCCAGACTTCCCTCTGCCCAGCTACCTGGGCCAGCTTCTCCAGGCGAAGCCCAAGGTGTTCCCTGGCTAGATGAGACACATGATCCCTCCAACGTGTCCTGGGTCTTCCTTTAGATCTCGTCCCAGCTGGACGTGCCTGGGAGACCTCACCAGGGGGGGCTTCCAGCAAGCATCCTAATCAGTTGCCCGAGCCACCTCAACTGGCTCCTTTTGGTGTGGAGGAGCAGCAGATCTACCTCGAGCTCTTCCTAAATGACCAAGCCTCTCACCAAGGAGGAGCCCAGCCAACCTCGCAAGAAAACTTATTTTGGCCGTTTTTATCCGCGATCCCATTCTTACGATCACTACACAAAGCTCGTGACCATAGGTGAGGGTAGGAACGTAGATCGACCAATAAATCGAGAGCATTGCTTTATGGCCCAGAATTCTCTTCATCACGACAGATTCAATTCAAGTTTATTTATAAAGCACCAAATCACGACAAGAGTCGTCTCAAGGCACTTCACACAGTAAACATTCCAATACAGGTCAGTTCATTAAGCCAATCAGTAAAAGGTTTTCTATATGAGGAACCCAGCAAATTGCATCAAGTCACTAACTGGTGTCAGAGTCTTTACAGCAATCCTCATACTAAGCAAGCATGTGGCGACAGTGGAGAGGAAAACTCCCTTTTAACAGGAAGAAACCTCCAGAGAATCCTGGCTCAGTATAAGCAGCCATCCACCATGACTCACTGGGGATCGGGAAGACAGAGCAGACACACACACACACACACACACACACACACACACACACACACACACACACACACACACACACACACACACACACACACACACACACACACACACACACACACACACACACACAACATATATGCAAAGTAATGTTTCTATGGTTACATTGGGTTTTCTTAGTAAACATTCTGTTTAGTAAGAGATAAACTTTATTGTATTTATCCTAGTGAATCTATGAATAAACAGGTAAAATAGTAGTAGCACATTCAATGTCAAGGAAAGTAAAATGTTATTATCAGGAGAGGGAGAATGTTTAAATGGTTAGCAACAGTGTTCAAGCCAATGGCCCCCGCCATGAGGCCACCACAGCTCAGCAGAACATCATTGTAGCTTCTTCTGGAGAGAAAAACACTTAGAGAAAAAATAAAGTTAACAGCTGAAACAGCAGGAAATAATGCAGTTAAAGAGCAAATTGTAGAAGAAAGTAGTCAAGTGTGGAAAGTGGTCAGTATGTCCTCCAGCAGTCTTATGGGCTCGACACACGGGAGGCGACATCGCCTCTCCTCCATTCATTTTCAATGAGGCATGCGCGACAAAGCGATAATCGCGGGTCTCCCTCCTATCAAGCGAAACACGAAAAACGTGCATGTGAAATTTTGCGCTCGTGCACGTCGTGCACAGGCGACCCAGCGACGCGATCCCAGAAAGTTGAAACATTTTCAACTTTTCATCGCTGTCGCTCGGACGAGGACCAATCAACGGAGGTTTCATTCACTGACCAATGAGCGGACAGGATGCTCCGTACATCTCCGAGCAAACATGGAGGAGAAGTTGATTATTATTATGTTTTATATAGTAAAATCAGAAGTAAGATTTCACATAACTCTAGCAGCACCTTGTGAAACATCATATCTACCGCTTTATTAACTCTGAACCGCTTAAATAACCTCAATTCCCTCCAACCTGACACAGCCAAACAAAACAAAGGAAGTTTTAATTTCGCCATGGAACAGAACGCGTAGACGGCTTTGCCGCTGCCGCAGGTCGCCTCCCGTGTGTCAGGTAATAAAAGAGACAGCGACAAATTTCGCCGATCGCGGTCGTTTGTCGCCTCCCGTGTGTCGAGCCCATAAGCCTATAGCAGCATAACTACAGAGATAACTCTGGATAACCTAGCCTTTTAGATGGAGGAATGTTGGAGGCAGGGCAAGGGACTGGTACAACGCCCCCATCACTGCAGACACAGCACAAATCCGTCTGTTGATCTCACGCTCCATCTTTCCATCACTAGTGAACAAGACCCCAAGCTACCTAAACTCCTCCACTTGAGGCAGGATCTTAACCCTCACCCGGAGAAGGCATTCTTCCCTTTTCCGACTCAAAACCATGGTCTCAGATTTAGAGGAGCTGATTCTCATCCCAGCCGCTTCACACTCGGCTGCAACTGTCTGATGAAGCCAATAGGACCACATCATCTGCAAAAAGCAGATCCCCTCAACACCTCAGCTGTGCTTCAATCCTGCCCATAAAAGTTATGAAGAGAATTAGTGACAAAGGGCAGCCTTGTTGGAGTGCAACCCTCACCGGAAACGAGCCTGACTTACAAGTCAAGCCCTTATTTTTAGAAATGATCAAAAAAGCAAAACTAAATCTGGAGAAACTGTGCAACACCTGTTGATTTTTGCAATACAATACAGTCACATGCATGCTGAATGTGAAAATGTTCTTTAACCTATATCGCCTGCGTTAGCCACAGAGAGGAAAGCGACGCAAAATCGACTGAGTCAGAAAAGGCCAGTATTCCTCACATCAGCAAAACTTAGTATCCATGGCCCCGCCCACCTTGGCTTTTGACTGCAGAAAGCTGCAATGATTTATCAGTCAAGAGAGGGCAGAGCACGTTGAAGCTAAGCATTAACAATAGCACTGTGACAACATATGGAAGAACACGTTCAGGCTTGTGTTATTTGTGGAGATAAAACCTCACTGTCACATCTTATTTTATCTAAAATAAAAGCGAACAGAGAAAGTGGAAGAGTGGCATTGCTGATGGCAAATCAGAGGTAAGATGTTCACATATCATGAAGTTCGTTAGCAAAACTTCTGTCCCCCTGACTCCCCTGACAATTACTACCCTCTGAACCAGGAACCTAAGAGAGTTTTTCCATCAAAAACAAAGCATTCATTCATACTAGAGACCACAGAAGACTTATTGAAATGGTAAATGAAACTATTAAATCCTAAAAACAAATGTTACAGTATTATAAACAGTTACACTATGAACCTGAGCAAAGATGGGCCAACCACCACCGAATAACGAATCTGTAATGCGTGGTAACATGTTTCTGAAGCTCCTGCCTATAATCATCCACAAACAATGGCGATAGAAAGCAATCACTCACTTTGAAAGAGTTCAATTTTGTTTCCTTTACAGTCTTAAATGGAAACGCAAAACAAAATATATTTTAACAGCTTTACTTATCTGATTCAACCCATAATATCCAATTCAAAAATAATAAATTATAGCAAAGTTACGGTCAGAATTTTTCTAAATAAAAAAAACACGATATGCTGCTGAGATTAATGAAGAGTCAGCCACCAACTTCAGTCTTTTGTTGAACAGCCTTTTACTTTATTTAACAGCCTCAAGTCTGTTTGGGAAACTTCTCTATCAACTTTGCAATTCTAGGTTGAGCAACATTCTCCTTCTCTCCTTTACAGGACCATTTAAGTTGGGTCAAATTGGATGGTAGGTGTTGGTGGACTGAAGTCTTCAAATCTCCAGGCTTTCACAGGGATAGGCCTGGGCTCTGACTGGCACACATGGGGACGTTTATTTGTTTTCCTTCAGCCACTGTCTGGTCAATTTTGCTGTGTGCTTCAGATTGTTGTCATGGTGAGAGGTGAACCTTCTGTCCATCTTCACATTGTGGAAGAGGGTAGCAGGGTTTCATTGCGAAAGTCATGGTATTTTACCCCATCCAATATTATTTCTACCCTATTGAGAGCCCCATCCCTGAGACAGAGATGCACCCCCACAACACGATGCTGTCACCTCCGTGCTTTACTGTAGGTAAGGGGTGTTGTGAATGGTGAGCTGTGTTGGATTTACACCAACTGTACACATTGGTGTTGAGAACAAATAGTTACATTTTGGTCTCATCTGACCATAAGACCTTTTTTCATTTGGCTTCAGAATCTTCTAGGTGCATTCTGGTAAAGCTCAAACGAGCTTTAATGAGGCCTTTCTTGAGAAGTGACTTTTTCTATGCAAACCTCCTGAACAATCCACATCTATGGAGCACTTGTGAAATTGCTGTCATTGGCATAGACTAGTACACGTGACTAGCCTGGCAAGCCATCCTATATATGTGGATAGCCACAGCCCATAGGGAGTTCAGTCAAGGGGTGGAATCTCTGCATTCTATTGGACAACGGACAGCGTGACATACTCACTGCTACAGATGTCAGTGAACGGGTTATCCCCACACACTGTTGAAAAAGTCGCAAATACATTTTTTTTCTAAATAAAGGGCTTAAGTACCTCTATCTGCTCTTGACTAAAACAAAAGAGCCCAAGTCTGAACAATCCAAGGTTGATCAAAGCTGTATCAAACGAGCTGTTGCCATCTTTGTTTTTCCACTCTGTCATATCTTCCCCGCCCACCAAA